GGGTCTGCGCTGCTGGGAGGCTGAGGGCCTGGAGTCCAGCTACTCCTCAGCCACATGCTCTTGTCTTTGCAGTCGGACATGCTCCGGTCTTTGGCCACCACTCGGCCCACCGTGAATGCAGATGACCTCCTGAAAGTGAAGAAATTCTCAGAGGACTTTGGACAGGAGGGTTAAAAGCTTCTTCACTCTGGTGACAGTGAAGGTGGGAAGTTGATTGGGGTAAATTCATGCACTCCCCATGTCAGCAGCCAGACAGGGCTCCAGGGCTTCTCCTAAAGTCCCTACAGTGTCCCCTCTGCTGTCTGGCCACCAGTCAAGGAGCAGGAAGGAAGGGGCTCCCAGGCACAGAGACGCAGAAGTACATTCGGCAGCCAGTGAGATACTGGTTCTTCCTACTTCCTCCTCTTCCTCTTGGATGCTCACCAACTCCTTGTTCTGCCCCTCTCTATTTTTTTTAAACCATTTTTTGTTCTCCTAAATTAATGCTGCTTGGATTTTCATCTTGTTTATAAATAAAGTTAAAATCACCTGGAAACATCACGGAGTGGGAGCCCGTGCTGTGGGGTCGGTGCAGCAGACCTGCAGAAGCCCCATGGCTCATTCCCTTCAGACCCAGATTTGCTCCTTGTGAAGAATGACTGATGCCCTGGATCCCTAGCCCAAGCTCTGCCTGTAAAGGCCAAGAGTAAAGCCAGGCCACTCACACCTTCCTAGGTTGGCATCCTGTGCTCTGTGTCCTTGCAGGAGGAGAGGTTGGTCTGTGAGCACAGAGCTGTGTGAATCAGAATGAGTGGAGGCAGTCAGGCGGGTTTCACTGCTGCCTTTTCTTCCCTCTGAATGTGAGAACACAACCCAGCCACTGGCCCCAGGTCCCTGCCCTGGAAATGTGCTAATAAATCCTTTTCCCTTCTTGAGCCACCTGAGTGATCTCTTTGACTCTTGTCTGGAGCTCTTCAAAGGCCATGCTTGCTTCCACTGGAAACACCTTGTGGTTTTCTCTGCTGTCTTCTCTTCTGCAGAGTAGGAAGGAGGAATGTTGCCAACTGCCACTGTGCCTAGGCCTGTATTCCAGATGGGTTCGTGAGACCTTTCTTTTCCCAGGGACTGGAAAGTGTGGCCGGGAGTGTTGTTGAGGGACTTGAATTTTCCTTCCTGTTGTCCAGCCTCCAGATCAGAGTGTTGAATTGGGAAGCCTGTGAGCCAGATGTGGCCTGCAGCTGTTTCCTTTGCTCTACCACCAAAAATCAAGAGTAGATATAAAAATTCAGTTAGGTAATGCTGGGCTTGCATCCCCTTGAGGCAGCCTATCAGCTGCTGCTGAGCAGGGATGGCTTTACTCAGATGGTGACATGCTCCGCAGTTCACTGTCCCCACTGGCCTGTTTACACATTTGCACTGTTTGCCTAGTCCCTCTGGCCACTTGAATTTGTGACCCCTGATTGTGAGACACCCAAGGCTCCAGAGTCACCCTTGGAAATGCTGTCTGACGGGGAGCAGAAGCAGGAGAGGGTGACTCACACTGACCACGAACATCTGTGAACACAGAAGAGGCCTGGCCCCATACCAGCCCTTCTCCCCTCCCCAAACTGGTATCTTCAAAACCAAAGGGTCCAGAACTGAGTGCATGGTCAACTCCTAGATAGTTTTATCCTTGCACTGTGGTGGTTCTTTGATCTGATTACGACTGTCTGCTAAATTGAGCCTACTTTTGCTTAGTTTCTTGAAGGCTCGGGCTCAGGCCCTGTGCTCCTCTCCATTGCTGGTGGGTTAGCCCTGCCTGGTTACCTGGAGCACCAGCCTGCCTGACCTCCAGATGACACTTACACAGCAACTGTGACTGAAATTTTTGTCACTTGCTCTGGAGTTCCCACGTATTTCTTAGTGAGTTATGTGCCCTCAGCCACCTGTTATATTTATAAATGCTGGACTAGATGCCAGGATAAGACACTACCCCCCCCCCCCCCCCCCGCAGTCATTTTAGCATTGTGTTTAGTTTTATTTTCTTACATACCTCTAGTTACCTTCAGTCAGAAAGTCCTTGCCTTCTTTTGTCTTTAAACCTGCTTCCTCATTTCTACTGCTTGAAGGCTTAGACAGGTCAGAGGGGTTAACAGAAACTTCAGGGCTGCTAGGGTTTGTCTTCATGGCTCTAGTCACAGCTTTCAGGCACCCACTGAGGCTGAACTAACCTCAGACTGATTCTGCGGCCTCACAGTCTGTTAATTATGACCAATACCTACAGAGGAATTTCCTCCCCTAAATGCTTATTCTGAAATCCACTTCTTCCCTGCCAGGAATACTGTTCCAAATCTTCTGCCTACATTGGCTTTCACTACAGCCAATTCTCATTAGCTGTAACACTCATTAGCTCCAGATGCTGATTGTGTGTGGGTTTTATGGCTAACACATCTGCCTGAGGTGGAAGAGAATTTCTTAATTGGAAATGCAAGCATTTGCCCTTGGGCTGTGGTATCTTAACTTGTAGACCAAATCCTTTCTTTTGAGTGGATTTGGTCACAACAGTAAATCTCCTACATTGTCAGCAACAGAGATAGCCGCTGGCTTTCTCCAGGGTCCACTCTGAGCAATCATTAACTCTCGGGCCTTAAGGTCAGGAAGCTGAAGCCAAATGCTAGTAAGGACTATTAACTTCAGAGCACTGTAAGAAAGCATCAGAATGTTCCGAGGGCCAACCTGCAAAAGCTTTTGACCATCATGTTCAGAAGTGAAGTCTGACTTTCTGAAGGACCCATGTTTTCACTGTTGAGAGCTTTCTACACAGTTCCCCAGTGGTCAAGGGTCTCACCTTACCTGGGATAGTGGCAGGTCCTGTTCCTCTCCCAAGTTTAATTCGCAGAGAGCCAGTTCACTTTCCCTTGTCCTCGCGGGCCCTCCAGACTTGGCTTGTTTAGAGAAAGCCATAGAGGAGAGTAGGTCTTTCCTGGTTTAGTTTAATTAACTGCTGCTTAAAACATGGTTTTACTACATGGGTGCTTGGACATGGAGGACTGTGGTACAATACCAGTGATGCAAAGTCAGTGTGAAAATGAGGTACGACAAGTACCTAAAGAAACAAATTCCTTCACCTGACAGGATCTTAAGGTTAAACACTGGTTAGTAATTGTGATGCTAATTTATTTTCCCAAAATGAGTGCAGTGTCCAGGAAGCACAGTTCTGCTTTCTATTCTAATTGTGACAGGGAAGCTCACTGACTCCCTCTCAACTATTACCCTTGCCTTAGTCCTGCTCCATGGTCTCAACACAAAGAACTAGCCAAGCACCAGCTGCCTAATAAATCTCAAAAGAGGACACTGTCCCAGCTGCCGCCTAGACTCAGAGCTCACCTAAAGCCCCCAGCCAAGACATCCAGCCATGGCCATGCAGAAAATCTTTGCCCGGGAAATCCTAGACTCCAGGGGCAACCCATGGTGGAGGTGGACCTATACACAGCCAAGGGCCGATTCCGAGCAGCTGTGCCCAGTGGAGTTTGTACAGGTATCTATGAAGCTCTGGAACTAAGAGATGGAGACAAATCTCGATACCTGGGCAAGGGTGTCCTGAAGGCTGTGGAACACATCAACAAGTCTCTGGGTCCTGCTCTGCTGGAAAAGAAACTAAGAGTTGTGGATCAAGAAAAAGTTGACAAATTTATGATTGAGCTGGATGGGACTGAGAATAAATCCAAGTTTGGGGCCAATGCCATCCTGGGAGTGTCCCTGGCCGTGTGCAAGGCTGGAGCAGCTAGAAGGGGGTCCCACTCTACCGACACATTGCAGATCTTGCTGGGAACCCAGACCCAGTCCTCCCGGTCCCTGCCTTCAATGTGATCGGTGGGGACTTCCATGCTGGAAACAAGCTGGCCATGCAGGAGTTCATGATTCTGCCTGTGGGAGCCAGCTCCTTCAAGGAAGCCATGTGCATTAGCACCGAGGTCTACCACCACCTCAAGGGGGTCATCAAGGCCAAGTATGGGAATGATGCCACCAACATGGGTGATGAGGGCAGCTTTGCACCCAACATCCTGGAGAACAATGATGCCCTGAAGCTGCTGAAGACAACCATCCAGGCTGCTGGCTACCGAGACAAAGTGGTGATTAGTATGGATATGGCGGTGTCTGAGTTCTATCGCAATGGGAAGTATGATCTTGACTTCAAGTCACCCGATGACCCCTCACAGCACATCACTGAGAAGCTGGGGGAGCTGTACAAGAGCTTCATTAAGAACTATCCTGTGGTCTTCAAAAGACCCCTTTGACCAAGATGATTGGGCCACTTGGACCTCGTTCCTCTCGGGTGTGGACATCCAGATCGTGGGAGATGACCTCACAGTCACCAACCCTAAGAGGATCGCCTAGGCCATTGAGAAAAAAGCCTGTAACTGGTTGCTGCTGAAGGTCAACCAGATTGGATGCATGACTGAATCCATCCAGGCCTGCAAACTGGCTCAGTCTAATGGCTGGGGAGTGATGGTGAGCCACCACTCTGGGGAGACTGAGGACACATTCATTGCTGACCTCATGGTGGGGGTCTGCATGGGACAGATCAAGACTGGTGCCCCCTGCTGCTCAGAGCGTCTGGACAAATACAACCAGCTCGTGAGGATTGAGGAGGCTCTTGGGGACAAGGCTGTCTTTGTGGACGCAAGTTCCGTAACCCAAAGGCCAAGTGAGGAGCTGGAGTCCCCAAGACCCTACAAAACAGATGTAGGCCTTCAAGCCCTTCTCCCTGAAATAAATACTGGTGCCAATGGAAAAAAAAATCTCAAAAGGAAAATCTTCCCCCACATCTGTTAAAGTTTGAAGGCAAAAGGTGGAAACCTAAACTCTACCTGAACCTATTAAAATGTGTGGGTACTCACTTATGCTAATATTCTCACTAAACACCTCCGTGACCTGGGGCCATTCTGTTCTGCGTTTACTTCCACAAGCACTCTGGTGTCCAAGGCAAAGAAGAACCCTGTAGGTAAGAAATACACAAATCCCTTGTAAAAATGAGTTTGGTAAAATTTTTAAACACGGCTATGGCTTTCAGATATTTTGTGACTACATTTATTATAAAATCTTGGCTTTGGGAATAGATTGTATAGGTTTTACCAAGTCATGTCTACTGAGAGTGGTTACAGCCCCACTCATCTCCATACAAGCTTATTAGGAAATGTCCACTCCTTCAGGGAGGTATTTTTCTTCTCAAGTTGAAGGCAATATTTCATAGATCATTTGGGGGCAATCATTTTTAACACCATCCCCCAACTCAGTTCGGCAGGTATCGGAAGTCCACTGTTTTCTGTCAGTCAAGTTGATGCCAAGTAAGACAATGCCTGGCTCCAAGCTGACACATTTGTGTCGGTTTTCAGAATCCTCAGATACAGCAGGAAAGCTTTAGTCATTCACCACCATCCAGTGGATGTTTGTAAATGTCTTGCTATCCATTTTGTCAATGAACAGGCAGCCCTGCAAGTGGTCCATCTCGTGCTGGATGATGCGTGCTGCCCACCCACTGGCCTGCCACACCATCTGTTCTCCTCTGGGGTCCAGCCCTGCAAAGGAAGTTCAAAGGAAGTTACAGTCTGGGTGAGGACATGCTGAAGTTCATCACCCTGAACCTCCTGGCCCTTTCCCTGCCCTTAGATGTTCCTATTTACAGGAGGCAACATCAGAAGGGAACTCAGATAGCATCTCTTATCCTCCCTAGAAAAGATGCTGCAGCTCTGTCTATATTACCAAGTAGTCAACCTGGTTCTCAACTCTAACAATTAGCTTGCTGGGCTTACTATGTAGATGAGATGAGAAATGATCTTCCTAATAAGGTGCTTCTCTTCTGAACACTCCTCCTGTTTCCAAAGTATTGCTGCTTGCTTTCAATTCCTAACAAAAGTATTTCAGTTTGGTACAATATAAAATAAGGAATACCACTGACTTTCTGACCCTCATGGACCAAGTGGTTTGTTCAGGAAGAGCAATCATCCCAAACAGGAAAGAACCACATTCCACAAAACATCCTGGTATGACACAGGGAATGAATGGCTCGTCACCCTGAGCTGGGCAAAGCAGGTCCCACTTCGCCCACTCCACCATGACAGATATCACTGGGGCAGAAGTGTGTGTGTGTGACAGACACAGTGAGCAAAGGCATTGGGCAGGGCCTGGATGTGGGGAAACACGACCCAGGCCACTGTAACAACCGCACTCTATACCTCCCACCCCATTCCCCTACTTAAGCTGCCTGTACTCAGAGGGGCTTCATTCCCAACCCGATCTGTCATTCCCAAGTCCCGTCCATTCCCAGGTCCTGTCTTCTGTTCTTGCCGGGAGGTTCTGCTGATCATCTATTAGCAGAGAGCTGATTTGAATTGGAGCTTTATAGAAACTTTTGTGGGATCAGAGGCAGAAGAGATACGCGCTTACCAACCCGCTTTAGGGGCCCTGCCATACCGCACCTGAGATCTGCACGGCCTGGAAGCGGGGCACGCAGGCCAGGAAACCGGCGACACTTTCGCAGCCCTCAGGGAAAGTGACCAGGCGGCTGTCCAGCACCCGAAGGCTGGGGTTCACGAACACGCGCAGGGGGAAGGGCTCCATCTGGCGGGCCTCGCGCAGGCGCGGCGCGCAGGCGCGGAAGAGAGCCTCAGGAAACTCTACGGCCAACACCTGCAGCGGCACTCCCAGCTGCGGCGCGCTGAGGCCCACACAGCGCCGGCGTCGCATCACGTGCACCAGCCGCTGCACCAGCCGCTGCAGCTCGGGCCCCGCCAGCTGCGCCGACTCCACTGGGGCCGCAACAGCCCGCAGGATTGGGTCCCCGACCTGGCACACGCGTGTGTACGGCGGCTTGGGTGCTCCTTGCACTAGACGCCACAGGTAGCGCCAGTAGGAGCGTGGGCGCGCCGGCCCCTCGGGGCCATCCCCGGCGGGCGTGGAGCTGTAGGCCCGGGTGGCGCCGCCTGCCACCTTCTCTCCCCACGGCAGGGCCGGCCCCACGAGGCGACAGGCCCGCGCCAGCAGTGGCCCGGCCCCCAGTCGGCCCATGATGCAAGCGAGTAGAGCCACCTGCCCGGCCGTGTTCCTCTACAAGCCCCTTAGCCAAGCGCTTCCGCCGCCAGGAATGCCGGGAAGGGTAGATCCCGCCCACAGAATATTGTCCACTTCTCCGGGTGTCAATCAACTTTATTTTTTAATTGCATTTATTATAAGAGGACTGACCAGGAAGTGCCCCCTTTTAATTTTGTCTCATGCATGCCTTCGCAGCCTCTTCCCTGGGGCTGCCCCAGGTTTTCTGAGGCAGGCAACTCCCCCTAAGGACGCTGCAGTAAGCCTTGTTCTGGGAGCGGGAACACCTGTGAAGTGCTAGCAATGGGCACATCGGCCTCTAGTGGCTCTGCTGATTCAAACTGCTCTTGCCCCTCCTCAGGGAAAGACGGAGTGACGGGCTCAAGGCTTGAGTCTTCCACCGGAAGTTCTGATGCTGGCGCTGTGGGCTCCGGCACTAGCTCCTTTTCATCCAGACAGAAGACCACCTCTCTCTTCGGCAGGATGAAGGCGAGAGGCTCCTGGACGACGCTGATGTTCACATGCCCAAGGTTTCCGTACTTGGAGAGCTGAGTGGGTGGAATGCCTGACCCAGATGGTAGGCAAAGTGAAATGGAAAAAACATTTAACAAGTGTATATACTGTTGTGTCACAGGAAAAAAGAAACATTTGGTGGAAGTAACTCACAATTACCATATTTCAGTATAAGTGATATAAGTCTATACTGTAAAGCAAGACTTTGAAGGCAATCCAGAACAGCACTGTGCAAGGCGGATGGAGTAAGGGGAGTAGGAGCCAAGAGAACCACTTCAGTAGGCACAGGCTTCCCTGTGCCAGGCCCAAGTGAAATGCTGTGTGGGGGGCGGGGCTCAGGAGTGGGGATAGGCCACTCTTTGCTTATGTGATCACTGGTCCATTGCCTTTTGGGAAGTTCCGTCTCCCACATCCTCCATACCCACCCCAGGGACAGAGAGTGAGTAGAGGAAAGTGAAGGTAACCTGGGAAATCATACAATATCTGGTTCTTTTGTGATCAGCTTCTTCCACTTAGCAAGATATACACATATTATATAATTCCATTTATATGAAATGTCCAGAAAAAGCAGATCTATTGCATCAGAAGATAGATAAGTGGTTGCCAGGGGCTAAAAGTGGGATTAGGGAATGATTACACTGGGTGTGAGGGGTCTTTTTGGCATGATGGAAATGTTCTATAATTGGATGGTAGTAAAGGTTGTATACCTCTGTTCATTTACTAAAGCATAATTGAATTTTATGAATGGGTGAATTAATTATTATGTGAATTATATTAATAAAGTAGCTTTAAGGGCCTTTTCTGCTTTCTCTTACCTAACGTCTGTGCTATCTGAGCTGGTGGAAAAAGGACCTGGAGACAGCGATTTAAATAAGGAACCAGGTCCTCCAAGAAGACAGTGCAGAACTGGATGAACAGCTCTTGCTCTCCACTGGTGAAGGCAGCCTCTTCAGCACGATAGAAGGCCAGGATTACTTTGGTTACCTAAGAGACAAAGGTACCGTTACTGTAGTAGTATATCACTATCAGCCTTGCGTGAAACTAAGCACAAATGCGCAGCCCTCAAGTTTTCATGAAGAAAGTTGTTCCAAACAGTCCATTATATTATTATCTTGTTTAAATTCAGAATTGTTATCACTCTCCACAATTCTGTCACTTCATTGATGTATTTCTTTTTTCTTTTTTTAAATATTTTATTTATTTATAGTTAGAGGGGAAGGGAAGGAGAGAGGGAGAGAAACATCAGCGTATGGTTGCCTCTCGTGCATCTCTGCTGGGAACTGGCCTGCAACCCAGGCATGTGTCCTGACTGGGAATCGAACCGAAATCATGTAGTTCACAGGCCCACACTCAATCCACTGAGCTACACCAGCCAGGGCGATGTATTTTTTTTTTTATTATAAAATTAGTTTCTATTCATTGATGTATTTCTGACCCAACTTGTTCCATTACTGGTGCTTTTTTCCAGTGGAAGAGCATCCTGAAATTATACAGAGAATAATACATAGTTCTTGACTCCCTAGAAGACCATCTAGAACTATGTTTGATCCAGGAAAATGAAACAAAAACTACAAGAGGTTTTTACTGAGTAAGGCTTTAAGGTTCCAGGAAGCTAGATCATTAGAAAATTGTAAAGGAATAATGAAACAGCTGAAAAAGAAGTTCCAAATATAAAGAACAGAACAGCCTAGTTGGCCTAATAGGTCATGCTAACAAGGTCAATAACAGACTCTTGTGCTAGACTTCCTGGTTCAAGTCCTAGCTATAACACTTTCTGGTTCTGTGACTTCCAAGTGATTACTTAAGCCCTCCATGCCATCTCTCCCTGTTTCCTCATCTACTAAGTAGGGTCAGCGGCAGGACCCACCTCATAGGGTCGTGCAGATCAAGTCTTAATGTGTTAAGTACCATGAACATGAACACTACTTGGCATGGAGTAAGTTCTATATAAATATTAGCTAATTACTATTACTTGAATTTCATTGACTCTAAAAACTCCAGAGCTCATGCTTTCTTGCTCTTACATGATCTATCAATAGAATTATTTTTTAAAATATTTTATTTATTTATTTTTAGAGAGAGGGGAAGGGAAGGAGAGAGTGGGAGAGAAACATCAATGTGTGGTTGCCTCTCATGTGTCCCCTACTGGGGACCTGGCCTGCAACCCAGGCATGTGCCCTGACTGGAAATCAAACCAGTGACCCTTTGCTTCACAGGCCCGTGCTCAATCCACTGAGCTGTACCACCCAGGGTTCAATAAGATTATTTTATAGTTATGTCACAACTGCCACCTGGCTCAAAGTGATTATGAGATGTTATCAACCATAGAGAAGCATCCCAATATCTAAAGGTTTAAATGTGTAAAAAATGTGCACTATATTAGGATACTAACAGCAGTAACAGCATTACTTGTGTTAGGCAGAATTCTAAGATGCTCTTGTAATTTCCACCTCCTGGTGTGCCACTTCTTTGCGTAATCTCCTCCCCCAAATTCAGGCAGAATCTGTGGCTTGTTCCTAAACATAGACTATGGCAAAAGTAAAGGATTTGTGGTTGTAATTAAAGATCCTAATGAAGCAACTGAATTAATCAAAAGAGAGATTATCCTGAGCGGGCCTGACAATCGATGAGCCCTTTATAAGAGGATTGAGGACTTCCCTAAGAGATGCGTGCAGGGCAGATACTCTTCCATTAGCCTTAAAGAATCACAAAGGCACAGTATAAACTGCCCGTGGAGTGAGGTGGCCTCTCGGAGCTGAGGGCCTCAGTCCCACAACTGCAAGGAACAGAAATGTGCTAATGTGGGCTTGAAAGGGGACCCCAGGCTCCAGATGAGACCACAGCCTGGCCAACACCTTGACTGCAATCTTGTGAGATCCTGAGCAGAGGACCCAGTTACGCTGTGCCTGGGCTCCTGATCCACAGAAATTGGGAGATGCTAAATGTCTGTGGGAGTCTGTCACGCAGCAGCAGAAAACTAACACATCACTGAATCGTTACTACAGGTGAGCCACTTCATGGATTGTTTTAGATTACATGAAGGGGGCCTAACTGGGTAAGAGCTGCTCAGCCATTAAAAACCTTCAAAACCACACTAAACCTCTCTACCTCAGCAGTCACCACTGTCATATGGACTGGTTTATTACCAAAGTCTGGCCTCCTATAACAAAGGAAAGTTCCGGGAGAGCGCCAACAGCATGTGCTCACCTTAGCAAGGGCGTCCTCCAGGACCCTAGTCACATCCTGTGCCAGGGCTATGGGGCAGCAAAGGCGCAGATCGTTGAAGGCAACCAGAATATTGTTGAGGAAGCAGGCAAGGGGTGGGAAGTCTAAAAGCACCATGGGTGGCTGCAGGGTCCCTGGCTGGGTGACTGGCACAGCAGCAGGCAGGTTACTACTGCCCAGGATGGCTGGAGCCAAGATGAGGGTGTAGGAGTTCATTTCCTCTTGGAACTTCTCCACTGCTTCCTGAATTGCTTTCTGGAAAGTGCTGATGGCTACCTGCTGGAAAACAGGAGCCAACTGGCCCCGGAAGTCAGCCCCCACCCGGCTGAAGGACAGCCCAAAATACATGCACTGGCCCAGCAGAGAGTCCAGGCGGCCGCCTATCCCCCGGTGAAGGTCAGTTTCCAGAACCTGCAGAAACTGTGACACTTTCTGCAGTACCCAGCCATGGAAGATAGCACTCTCATTCACAGTGTGCTCACCCTTGGCAGGAGACAGCAATGGGTCCTCATCTGAGAAGATGGCACGGTACTGAGTGATGATATCAAACAGATGGACACGGCAGGCCTCAATGGTTTTTGTGATGTGGAAATAGGGATCATCGTTGGGGATGGCAGTCAGAATGGAACGGAGCCAAGCATCTCGGGCCTGAAGAAATTTCACCCTCAACTCAGCCTCCGTGAAGATGTCCATGCGCCTCAGGAAGCCAATGACACGGAGGCAGGCAGGGAGCTGGATGTTGGTCCTCAGTTGCTGGATGAGCTGGCTCAGCATCAGCTGCATGGACTGGCGCACTTCGTTCACAATGCCCTGACAATATAGTCATATGACATTTGTAAAAGCACTCTGGGACCCATTCACTAACCCTGAATATTACAGACCAACATTCCCACTGCTTCCCTGACATATGAAGTAGATTTCCTAGAGCTGACACATGCAGAGATCCAAAATGGCAACAGAGTAGGTAGAAGCTACACTAACCTCCTTCCAGGACCAAACGGGTATCACAATGAAGTTATAGAACCTCGCCAGCTTCCTTATACTCTCCCCTAGCTCACTGCAATCCAGTCCCACTGGCTGTCTTTGTATTTCTTAACATGCCAACTCCCCCCGTCAGCCTGCTGTATTTGTTCCACTTTCTGGTTTGCTCTCTCTCCTCGCATCTACATGTGGCTGAGTCCTTCCCATTATCTGGGTCTCAGCTGAAATGTTCGTTCTCCAGAAGAGCCTTTCCTGATTCATCTCCCTAGAGTAATTCACCCTGGTCTGCTCCTACCCCATTCCCTGGTTGGTTTTCTCCATGATTAACCACTGTCTGAAAGGATTACATTGTTTATCTGTTTATTTGACTCATCTTACACTGATGAGAGCCAGCGCCTTGTCTGCTTTGTTCACACTGTACACCCAGGACCTAGATCAGAGCCTGGCACACAAGATTAATATTTCTCAGTTGAATGAATGAATGAATGAACGAATGAATGTTTAATGTTCAAACCTGTCCAGCTGGCAGGAACTGATGTGAAACATGCAAAGAGTTTCCCTACAGTTTCTGCCTAAAGGTTCAGTGATGACCACAGAATCACTGATCCCAAGAACATCAGTTTGAGTTCTTTGAGGAAGTTGGCTACCTGGATGACAGGGATGGAGGAGTATTTCCTTTCCAGTCGGCGAACGTAGGCTGCAAGCTCCAGGGCCTCTTCATAATAGCTGTTCCGGACACAGGTGTCCATGAGCTGAGGAATTTCTAGGATTTCCAGGATTTCTGTGTGCCGGTTTAGAGTCAGGGTATTCATCCGGCGGTTGGAGCTAATTTCCTCAGCCTCTTTCACAAAGTTCCTAGTACAATGAGGAGAATGTTGGTTGCTCATTGTTCTGCACCCAAACCTTAGCTGTAATTACCAAGCATTTACTATGAACTGGGCACTGGGCTGGATGGTATAACTGATTTAATCTTCACACCAAACCTGTAAGTAAGCCGAGGAAACTTTATAATCTCAGAAAGGTTAAGCAACCTGTTCAAGATCACAAAACTAATAAATGATTAAGATTTAAACCCAGATAAGCCACTTAACTAGCAGTTTCATAACTGTTTCCTCATTGGTAGATAGGACCCAAGTCATAAGGATGTGAAGGTTTAAGGAGATGATGTGTATAAAGCATTTAACAGAGAACCTGACTCATACTAAATGTTCCTTTAATAGCTATACTTTTTATTTTCAAAATAATCAACTAGCCTAGAGGCTACAGCCTTACTCCCAAGTCCCCTCAGTCTCTTAATGTATTCCTATGCTATTGTTTAACCTTGGTTCTCGCCAGTTTCCATTTCTTCTCCATAAAGGCAGAGATCTGCTTTATGAAGTCCCCTATCTATTCAGGGGTGGATGGAAGGGTGTAAATGCTATGGTCAAATATCCCAAGACTCAAAACTTAAAACTTTTATCATGAAAAGCTGGAAGCCAGAATTAGGGATGATGGACTGAGGATCTAGGGAAGCAAAATGACTCAAAAAAGAGGGATTTGGGGGCATAATTTTTGCTACCCCTAAGTAAGAGGATTTTCCTTGTCAGCTTCCAATCAATGAAAGTGTTGGAGCAGGTAACTTCTAGTCTGAGCTGTTGTATGTGTTGTATCTACACGTGTGTTTATGTATATTTACGTAAACATGTATATATATTAAGCTGCCAATTGTAGATAGTTAAGTGTTGTAGATAGTTCAGGCCAAATTCTTAGTGCTTTGCACGAATTCTCTTTATTTACTGCTCACACAGCCCTCTGTGGGACGGTTGTGCAGCGACGTTCCAGTTCCAACTTTGAAACTTAACTATACCTGTGCCCTTAGATAGTCACTGATCTCTCCGTGTCTCAACTTCCTCATACATAAAACGGGAAAACAGTACCTACCTCGAAAGCTGTTGTGAAGTTTAAATAGAGTAATAAAGTACTCAGAGCCTGGCACGTGGTAAGCGCTTTGTAAGTGTTAGCTATCTCTACCATGGTAAATTGCATTTACTACAGCTGTTAAAAGCCCCTTTAGCACCGGCTCTGCCGCACCTGCAGCTCTGCTGGAAGCTCGGCAAGCGGTCGAGCAGGTGGCCGAGCGACGCTTCCACGTCGCCAAATAGGCGGTGGATGCGCTCGGTGCACTCGGCGCCGCGGATGAAGGTTTTGTAGTTAGCGAAGGCCAAGTCGCGCGTCTGCTGTAGCAGCTGGGCCCGTTCCTCCGCCAGGCGCTCGGGTTCGCGCCGCAGACGCTCCAGCCCGGAGCCGCTCAACTCCCGAAGGTACCGACCCACGTCGGGCCGTTCCCGCCACTGGGCCTCCGGGAAGCGATCCCTGAACAGCGATGCCAGGAGCCCTTCATCCTCCACTTCCCCGAGAGCCGCTGCAGTGGCAGTGGCGGATGCTGAAATGGAGGATGCACAGGCCATGGCAGATGCCGGAGTGGAAGATGGAATTGTCGCCGTCGCCGCCATCTTTCCGGCAGCAGCGTCACTTCCCCCTCGCGCCCACAGAGGGCGCAGGCTCCAAATCTAGGACCGGAAGCAATGGAGGTGCACTTCCGTTCTCTACGGTTGCTCAGCGGGCGGCTTTGGGAAGCGATTGTAAGGTGGGCTTTTGGGGTTGCCAGGGAGCGGCTGAAGGCTGACTTCCGCTTCCGGCGACTGTGGCACGAGGAGCTGGTGTGGCTACGGCGGGAAGATGCGGCCTTTGACTGAGGAGGAGACTCGTGTCATGTTTGAGAAGATAGCGAAATAGTAAGAGCGCGCGGGTTAGAGGAGAGTGCATGTGGTGGGAAGGGGCGGGGGTGGAGTGGGGCGCGGGACCGGTACCGGTCCGTTCGCACGCGGCCTCCAGTTCTCCTTTTACCTACAGCATCGGGGAGAATCTCCAACTGCTGGTCGACAGGCCTGACGGCACCTACTGTTTCAGGCTGCACAACGACCGGGTGTACTACGTGAGGTGAGGAGGGGCAGGGTGAGCAGCACGGCCCCGGGTGGGGGCCTGGGTCCCACCAGCGTCCGTACTTGACACCTCTTATTTACCCTTTTAGTGAAAAGATCTTGAAGTTGGCCGCCAACATCTCCGGTGACAAGCTGGTGTCTCTGGGGACCTGCTTCGGAAAATTCACGAAGACCCACAAATTCCGGTTGCACGTCACAGCTCTGGATTACCTTGCACCCTATGCCAAGGTTTGTGAGGTGGTTTCCAGTCGTCCACTGGGGACGGATGAAGTCAGGGATGAGGGCCACCTCAGAATGCAGACAAGTGGGCAGCTTCTCTGCCACGGAGTTTTAACAGTGCTTGGGATCAGTGTCAGCACGTGGACATGCATGTAGGTCTTAACTCTTCGGGTATGGTTAGGGCTGTGGGGCGGGAGTGCTCTTAATTATCTCCAGCGAAGGAGAAAAGCCTGTGCAAACCCAGCTGGAGATCGAAAAGCAAATTGGTGGCTGTGAGGAGGAGCATAGTTTAACTGTCCGTGGAAGAAGTTGCTTGTAGAGTGGAGGAAAGAAGCTGGCAGTTCTGTTTAGGGGGTATACCGTTTGAGAGAAACATGCATCTTTTTCTTAAAACGCTTTCAAGAAATCAGATACAGCAGCTAGCTTATCTGCGGGGAGATAACTATTGCCACTTTTATGTGTCTTGGATTTATTTCTCTTTCTTATAGTACAAAGTGTGGATAAAGCCTGGAGCAGAGCAGTCCTTCCTGTATGGGAACCATGTGTTAAAATCTGGACTGGGTCGAATCACTGAAAATACTTCTCAATACCAGGGAGTGGTGGTGTACTCCATGGCAGATATCCCTTTGGTGAGTACAGATGGTAGCTGTTACAGAGATTAAGAATCTTTATTCACGAAGGATGTATTTCCAGACTGTGGGCTTGAGAGACTAAATTTTCTGCAGCTTTTGGATTTCTCAAAGAACTGTATTTTTTCATCTTTGTTATTTCCAGCCCTCCATGCATGCTTATTGAATGACTTGAGTGAATCAGTGTCTCTTCTTTTGAATCCCAGGGTTTTGGGGTGGCAGCAAAGTCTACACAAGACTGCAGGAAAGTAGACCCCATGGCGATTGTGGTATTTCATCAAGCAGACATTGGGGAGTATGTGCGACATGAAGAGACATTGACTTAAAACGAAATCATCGCGAGGACTTATGGCTGTGTGGAAGGGCCTAGCTTTGTTTCCTGTGTCTGTGTAGGTTCCACCATCATGTTGAATTTTGTCAACACTGACCTCTCCAGGGACTTGTTAGTTTTATATTCTATCACAGACAAACGCAGGCTGGATTCTAACTAAGCGGAGATGGTTCAAAAGTGGAGTTTCGGATTTTTGTGTTTGTTACTAAATAGAACGTTGTGTTTTATATTTTAATCAGAGGGCTTCTTGTTTTCAGTAAAAGGTTCTGAATCATTGGAATTGAGGACAAGAATAGCTTTTTATTGTTATCTGTGATAACACTGTTTTCCAAACTCATGATAACATAAGTTTTCTTATTTATTTATTAATATAATGAAAGATACATATTGCTGTATCCAAATAATAGGCCATGCATGGGATTTTACACGTGAAATTTGGATAAAATACTAAGCAATTTATTCTGATGATTTTCTTTATGGTAGGTTCTGCGCGGTGTGGAAGAAAACTTGGATTTAAAACCTAGTTCTAACACCTACTGGCTATATGATGCTTTATCTGAGTCATTAAACTTTCATGAGCTTCATTTTCTTCTGTTTCAAAAAACAGCTTTGGCCATCTACCTAAGAATGGTTTTTAGAATTAGAAATCATGATTGCAAAGTACCTAGCACAGTGCCTGGCAAATGATAGGTATTAAATAAATGCTGAGAATTATTTTTATGTTGTATATACTGAGTGTTGCTGCTACTAAGAGTAGGATCTAATGGGTATAATTCGATTATATTATTTTGGTTTTTCCAAGCTGTTTTCTTAGTCTTTCTTTTTTGTGGATGGTGTGATCTCAGGTTGAATTTTATTTCCATCAACTTGGTTTCCTCAAACATTTTCCTTACGAGCCTTTACTCAGCTTACTGCACTGGACAAAAAGCACTAACTGGAGACGCTGAAATAATTTACCTCCTCTGTTCTTCCCTTCACTTCATGAAATCATTTTTAGAATTATTAAAATATTTTTTAAATGAAAAACATTTGCAAATATTTTTAAAACTACCTGTATTGTAAAACTTTCTCTAATGAATATACTGCTTATTTTAAATTCCAAAGGCCACATCTCTAAAAATAAAGCATTTTGCATTCTATCAACTTCTGTTTTTGTATGCACATACAAAACCCATATAAAAACTGGGTTTTGTATGTTTTTGTCCCATTTTTTTCAAGTATTCTCCCTTCCAGGGTTCTCTGTTAACCTCTATGTAGACTTAGTGAAGTTTAAGGGATCACTATATGATGAAAAGTATTTTGATGTTAAACTTTAAAGTTTGATTAAACTTTAAAAATAGCCAACATCAAAACTTACACATTTTTTATTTTTTTATTGCCATTTTGCCTCTGTGAATGAGATCAATAAACTAAAACTTCCTAAGAGGAGAAATTGAATTTTTCCCAATAACTTTAAAAAGCTGATTTAACCAAAGCTTTGACAAGCTTCTGCCCCAGAAGGAGAGAGCTGCTATGGTTATTTTAGCTTAGCATCTTGGCTTCTTTGTATCTGTAGTCATTGGGACATTGAAGAGGCGCTTCAAGAAGTACAGCTGCAGGACCCCGGAAAGAACAATAACAAGGCTCTGGGCTATCGACCACCAGTTCACGTAGTTATAGTTTGATTGAAGAAGGAAAAAGTCAGCCGTTTTCCTCATGCGGGCAAAGTTGTAGTATCGCCACATGTGAAAGATATTTCTCTGTACCTTTTGGGTACTTTCCTGTGGGACAGACAATGAAATAAGGAAAGGGCTCCTCCTTACCACCCCCCTGCCCACCATCTTTCCTCACCTGGGTGCTCACCAGCACTGAGTTCTCTGGAAATTGAGTAACTTAAATGAATTTATGACATGTAATAAGTTGGCAGCTGTTGTAGTTAATAAATGGTAATTTAGCTGTATAGGAAAATGGCCTGGACTTTATGTTGAACTTTTTTAATGGAAAACTTCAATGTTGAAACCAGAGAGCTCTTCCAGGTCTCTAGATTTAGGTACCTACTCAACACTGTTACCATATCCTGAGTGGTGTCTTCAGCTCTTGCATATGGTAGAAGACAAGGGCCAGCAAACTTATTATAGAGCCAGATAGTCTAATAAATACTTTTGGTTTTGCAGGCCAAACAGCCTCTTGCAACTGCTGAACTCTGCCATTGTAGCACCAAAAAGCCAGAGACCATATGTAATTGTCAGTTGAACATGTCTGTTCCAATAAAATTTCATTTACAAAACTAGGCAGTGGACTTTAATGCATCCAGGAGAACATCACGAAAGTGCAGCTATCCCATAAAATGGGAGAAAATACCTGTAAATCATCAATCAGTGACTTCTATCCAGGTTTTATACACACACACACACACACACACACACACACAGATCCAATATATAAAACACACAGCTCAGAAAAAGACTACCTGATTTTAAAGTGGACACAGTATTTAGACATTTCTCCAAAGATACATAGATGGCTGAAAAGCACATGAAAAGATGCTCGGAGTCATTAGGGAGACAACTCAAAATCAGAAGATACCATTTCATACCCACTAAAGAGGCTAATAAGACATGTTGGTGAGGATGTGGAGAAAGTGCAGCCCTCATTCACTGCCAGTGGGAGTGTAAAATGGTTTAGCCTCTATGACCCAGTGCAGTACTTGTATATATACAAAAAATTAAAACATGCCTACACCAAACTTTGCATGCAAATGTTCATAGCGTTATTCATGATAGCAAAAAAGGAAATAACCCAAATGCCTGTCAGTTGATAAGTGTGTAAATGTATATATCCATACAGTAGGACATTATTCAGGCATAAAAAGGAAAGAGATACTAATAAATACCACGATGTGGATGAGCCTTGAAAACATACTAAGTGAAAGAAGCCTGACACAAAAGGCCACACTGTGATTTCACTCATTAAATACACAGAATAGGCAAATCTGTAAACAGAAAGTAGACTAGTGAGAGAGAGGCCAGAGCGGGAGGTGTGGGGAATGGATAGTGACTAATGGGTTTGGAGTTTTTTGGGGGAGTGATGAAACTGATAGAATTAGATGCTCTTGATTGTTCCAGAGCCGTGGGAATGTGCTGAAAACCACTGAATTATATACTTTAAAATGGTGAATTATATATAAATTTTTTTTTAAGAGAAAAAAAAAAAAGGCAGCAGGCCAGCTTTGGCCTGTGAGCCATAGTTTGCCAATCCCTGGTATAAACCAAAGGAGGAATTTCAAGAGCTCCAAGTGATAAAAATAAAAGGCTTCTAATTCCCTTGCCTGGTTGGTTTCTACACAAATGAGTGCTTGGATCAAGTGATAACTACTCCTGTATTTTTAATCTTTCCTCCACATTTAAGAACAGTTTTCATGGATGCTTCTCTCCCAAAAAATAATTACCTCAATCGCATCTAGGGTATCATTCAGTTGTTTTCTTTCACTCTTCTGTTTGTGGTCCATCTCCAGCCCCTCATAGAAGACTCCAAAATCAAGGTGCACTTGCACAGAACCAAAGTGATTTTGCTGATTTTTTAGACAAAGTTGATAAAAACCTGTAAGAATCCCTAGATCATTACCGAGTCTTGGTCTCCCATGCTTTGTTTCTCTTTCATCCTCTGGGTTTAGAAGCTGTCTATTCTCCTGTGGTCAGTGTACTACATTAGCACCTTCTCTTTACTTAGCAAGTACAAAGATCCAATTTTTGATGTGGAAGAAAGATACTGATCTTACAGGAAACTTATTTACTGAATATTATGTATAATAATTGCTTTGCAAATATTACTAGCTAGTTCTATACTGAAAAGAAAACCGTGTTTCCTTCCTCTTTTTCAGCATTAAGAAATTTTTCAAATTGAGTTGAAATTAAGAGAATGGTATTTGATTACTTTTTATATACCATTAGAGCTGGGGATACCATCTTGAACTTGCAACTAGGAGAAACTTGATGTGTTGTGAAAGAAACCATCCTGCTGTAGTAACTAACTGCAAGGTCGTCTGTATCAGGACTGATGGTTCTGGGTGCTGGTTCTCCCCTGGGCTTGCCTCCCCTTGTGTGTGTGGGAGTGGGGAGGAGTGGGATTGGAAAGGTGTGGCAGTGTGTTTATTAAAATGATTGGAAGGCACTACTGGCATGTAGGGGCCACCAAATGCTAAATATTCTATAATGCTGAGTAGAGTATCCTGTGTTACACATGAAGGATTGTCTTAGGTTCCTGTAGAGAAACATCTTTTTTTGTACACCTGGCCGGTAGAGTGTGCATCTGGTGCTGTTCGGGAGTGGGGACAAGTTCGATCTACATGGAAACAGGCTATAAGAATTTTCTGGTGACTAGAGAAATGCTTTGTTGTGGAATATAGGTATTTTTCATGGCCGTGCATTTCCTTTTGTTCTGAGTCTGCTTTTTGGAACTGGCTCATGTATTCCCATGACTGGAAAGAGATGTTATCCCATAATAAATTTGCTAATTGGAATTCTCTATCTAAAATGGGCTTTTGGGTCACTTTCTCATATTCTGGTCAGTTGGAGATGATGACATAAAATTGAGCTTCTGGACTTTGGAGTGACAATTAGTCACGTGGAGACTGCCCCCAAACTGCCAGAGAACCGCCACTTGGCCATTGGCAGTGGAAAACTGGGTTTTGGTGTCCTAGGCTCCGTTTTCTTCCTACGGTTTCACCATCCCTATCTGAAAACGCCAGGGTTTTTACATCTCAGGTACTTAATTTTAGTACTTCATTATTTTCCCATTTTCAAAGAAACCTATGATTATCATAATAGCTGTGGTAATGAAAACAGACCTGTCTCTTGGGTATGGAAGTTAATCTGGCCCCGAACATTCTGAGAGGTTTCTATGAGAAAACCTTGTGGGGTATGTGCAGTGGCAGAAATATGCCGGTCATGTGACATTCCCAGTGTCCGCTGAACCTGCCAAGACATTAAAGAGGGAGAAGAGCCCCTGATTCATCACCAAGAAGCTAATTAAGTGGTAAGATTGACATCCCACAATCATCAGCACAGTGGTTCTCAATCATGGATGGTACTGCCCAACCCCTTCTGGGAATTTGGGTTGAGACATCAATGGTGTTGGCTGGGGTGGGGAGGGACTGCAAAGCTGAACATCCTGCCATGTTAGAATTGGTTCTTCGGGATAAAGAATTGCCCCAAATGCTGATAGCACTCTTGTGAAGGACATGTCACAGACCATACAGCTGGCCTGTATCGGTTGGTGTGTAAAATTCTGGTTGTCGATTTTTTTACAATATTTTATTTATTTTTAAAGAGGGGGCTGGGAGGAGAAAGAACTCTCTCATGTGGCCTGAAACCCAGGCATGTGCCCTGACTGGGAATTGAACCGGTAACCCTTTGGTTCACAGGCTGGTGCTCAATCCATTGAGCCAGGGCTAACTATAGAGTTCTTTACTGAACTAGCGTGGTTTTGAGCTCCCTGGTGTTGTCATCAGATACTTGGGCTTATTTCACGCTTGACAGCACATAAGGCATTTGATGGACACTTGCTGTCAAGGTGGATCTTGAAAGCTACAGTGAGCTGACTATAGGTACTCTTCTATCATAAATTTAGAGATAAGAAAAAGTTCTAATTTAAAATTAAGTTACAGTGGAGTGGAATAAGGTCATTATATGCAGTGTTACTCTAAACAAAGATTAGAAAGTTAACAGGTTTCTGAGATAAAGAACAAAGGAAATGAACAGCCTCTAACTTGACTGCTGAGCAGACCGTCCTTGGGAACTGGTGTGGATGAAAGTACCTGGCCTGTGAACAGGCGCCTTGAAAACATTCACCTTCCTAACACAAACAGGACTGTCTGGCTGAAGAGAGAAATCTTGAGCCAGTGATTCTCCAGTTTGCCAGAATTACCTGTAAAGTTAAGAGTAAATGTTGCTGTCCTAACTCCATAAACTGTTTTTTTGAATTGTCTGGGTCTCTAAAGTTCACAGGACTTTCCATTTCCATATTATTTTAATATTTAAAAAATGTATTCTCTCCCCTTTCATTTCCACAACCAAGTGGTTGTGATAATTATTTCTCCAGGAAAAGGTACCCCATTTGTCCCGTGGCTTTGAGCACACTTCTGTGGCCCCCACTTTGAGAAACCGAGCCATATGTTTTAATGATTATTCACCCATCAGGAGTTTCCATCTACCTGCAGGTCTATTTCATTAATAGGTGGAGAATCATAGCTTAATAAAGACAACCAGAACCTCGTGTTAGTCTAAAACTATGACCCACTTTACAAAAGGAAACAAACAAAAAACAAGTCTCCCATATGGCCAGAAGAGCCCAGGTACCTACCTCATAATCAAAATAAAAGTATCCAGTCTGGTGGGCAAATTGCCAAAAACATTCTGCGCCTCCTGAAGGGATCATGATGGCAAAGTCATACTGATCTGCTCCTCGAAAGAGTGGCTGGTCCCCAGAGCCACTAAGGGGTTCCGTCTTCTGGCTCCTAGCTGAGGCCACCAGGTTCAGAACCACAAGTCCGGCCCCAACAAGCAAAGGGAACATGCTGGTTCCTGGAAACTCCTCTGCAAGTGAACTGCCTGAAGCCCAGTGGAACCAAGTAGTTTGCTGGGGTAATCATTAACTCTACAAGTCATACTTGGGCCAGTTCCAGGGCCATACAGAGATATTCCATAATAGAACTGGCACGATACCCCCATGTTTGGCTCACAGGAAGAGTTTTTTGCTTTGTTTTCACCTAAAAAACTCTGGTTTACAGAAGCCACTTCATGGGTGCTAGATAGAATCTACTACTTCTGAAGAGGTATTTCCATCCTTCCTTTGGGCTGTCATTTTTCCAGTTCTTGCTTCCTGGGGATAAATATTGAGTTAAGTTTATTTACAACCAACTGAATATACAGAGTATTTGGCCAGGGAGATTTTTCTCTTATTGGTATCAAATTGCTAGGTGATCCTTATTATTCTAGTAAGACACATGGGGCAACATCCATTTCAGTGGACTTCTTCCTGCACAATGCTAGTTTGAGAACAGAACACAACACGAAAGTGTGTGCAGAAATTTAAATGGAGCTGTGTCTGGTGTGGCTCGGTGGCTTGAGCGCCAGCTTGCAAACCAAAGGGTCGCCAGTTTGATTCCCAGTCAGGGCACACGTCTGGGTTATGGGCTGGGTTCCCGGTAGGAGATGCATGAGAGGCAACCACACATTGATGTCTCTCTCCCTCCTTTCTCGTCTAAGAATAAATAAATAAAATCTTTTTAAAAATCTTAAATAAATGAAGCAAGACAGAAATGGACATCAGAGACCCCACTGGGTGGTTCACCATCCCACAAGCACAGCTGGCACAGCGGGGGCCCTCCGTGGGCCTCACACTCTTAGCCAGGAGGACACTGTTTCTGTCAGTCTCTGGATCCTGCCAATGCCTAAATGTTTTCAGCCATAATCCTAAAAAACCAAAACAGCATTAATAGCTTCTAACCAAGTCTTGCTTCAGAATTCACCACATTGACTCCAAGTGGTACTATTTGAATGATCACAAGCTAATAATTAAAGAGCAGACTTTATAATTGTGTTCAGCTGTAACACAGGCTAAATGATGATATCACAACACCCTGGAGCCACAGTGGCTCTGCAGCAGTCCTGCCGAGGTGGAGGTGGGAGATGGGGATCATTTCTCAGCACACAGTGGCACAGGCACCCCCGCCCCGGTCCCGCCACTGCCAGTTTTTACATTGTGCATGTTGTGAGCAGTGACTTAGAGTCAACAAAACAGTCAACAGTACACGGTAAGTTTTATAGTTCTCTAGAAGCTATAGGCTTAGTTTTTTTGTTTGCACACACTTCAGTTAACAGTATAGCACTGACATTCAGTTTAAAAATGTTAATGGACCTATGGTTTTTCAAATTTGAGAAATGCTGATTAGGGTATGTTGCTTCCCTAACTGCATCACAGTTTCACTCTTCTACCCAGAGAGCCATCTTAATGGTGAGAGTTGAGAGTTGAGGGGAGAAAAGCTTCTGGATCCGAATCTAATTCAGAGGGAGACCACATGAGCTGCAACCAGTTCAGGAGGAGGTGGCTGTATTGAGAGGAGATAAGTTCTCACTGTAGTTTCATTTGGGGTTAATTGGCAGAAAAACAGTAATACTAAATTCTAAAACACGTAGTTAACAGGTAATAGAGCTGTACAAAATTTCTAACTTGTAACTACAGGATAAATTTTAAAACTTTAGCATTTCTTTACATCTTTCACTCGAAAGTGAGAAAGGGTTCAACAGAGCTTCCAAAGACTAGAATATCCAATACAGTTTGACATTGACGTTTTAACAGTCAACATGGTTCAGCAAAATTTGTTTAACGTGTTCATACATGCTGTGCTGCAATTAAACAGCTACTTAAATTTGAGAGAAGCAAGACTTTAATGAAGAATGCTGTAAGGTATGGACAATTGGTTCTCAAATTTTAAAAAATAATTACATAAAACACTTTCCTGATTTTTTTTTTTTTTTTCAAAAAGACGGTCTTTTAAGGATGTTCAAGAGAGACGGCAAGCACAACACAGTACAAAAGGAGAAGGAAATGTTGAATTTCAGTGCAAGACACTAACACACAGCACAATTAGGGAATCAGGTGGAAGCAACCATTTCATAAAGAATGGAATTAGGCATTTATATTCAATCAGGATTTTTTAAGCTTTAAAAGTCCAGCATAGGGAAGGGAATTGGGAAGAGAATGGGGGAGGAGCTAAGCTTTTCTACAATCACCAAAAAACACACTGGTTCAACCACATGAGAAGTGGAGGTTAAACCTGCCTATGTAGTCCAGCAAATAGTAAGAGCAAATGCCAAGACTAGGTCTAGGTGTTGATGTCACAACAGGCTAAACAGTTTTTAAAGGGACCCTGATTCCACCACGACTGGTCTCTCATTCATTATTATTAGCCTGGGCTCATGACAGATGAAGTTCCTTTGCATTTGCATCAGGAGGCCAAAGCTTTACCTGGAACAAGTTCACTCCAGATAATGCTCATGTTGCTGGTTTTAACAGGTCATGGAGTCCTAAGTGCTTCTAACAGACTCCACCGTATTCCTAGGAGAAGGTTCTACTGATTACTGGGGATTTAAATTCAAGCAAACCACTGAAGAAGGGAAATACTAATGATATTCTGGCACTGTACAAGCTGTCTGCCTGTCATCTCTGCCAAGGACATAGGGTAGACTTGGCTTTGTCTTTCAGCTCTATGATCTCCAACAGTGATGAAGTAGAACTGGGACCTTCCCCACATCGGATGAGGATGCCCAAAATTTTTATCCTAGCCCAGCTTCTGAAAGAAAGAGCAGACTATCTGGCTATTAATTAGGAACCATACTCTTGTGAATCCTGTGGAAACGAAAGCTTGTTTCAATTCATGCCAAGTCTTTTCATGGTCCGCCAGCGATCCTTAATCATCACAGCTGTTCGGTTAACAAATGGGTAATTTTTAGAAATGGCAACCCAGTTTCCTTCCCCGAATTTCTCCACTCCAGCCTTGACCCACTCGCTTTCTTCTATAGTCCACTTCTGCAAAAGAAAACCAAAGATTTATCACCTCTCTCTCCACTTACATTTTCAAACAGCGAAGAGGTTAACTCAAGAATCCTAAGAGAAAAATCTGAACCCAATAGAAGGGTTTACTATGATCATAAATTAACAGTGGATTTGTACATTTAATAATTTTCAATGTCCTGCCATTTCATCTTCAACTACTAATCACCTCTGCATACAAACTTCAAATGTGTGTTGTTCATGGTCAGGAAAATGTGTCAGATTTCTGTCCAACTAGATTTTTCTTCCAGAGGAAGAAAAATGTGAGTAGGTCCTCAAATAACATCATTGATAGGTTCTGCGACTGTAAGCATAATGACATATAACAAAACCAGTTTTACCATAGGCTAATTGATATAAACAAGAGTTAAGTTTCTATAGCATCTAATCAACATTATAACAAAAAGACATTGAACGAAAAGATGTTATTCAAGGACTTACTCTATTTAACTTAGTTTGGATCATCAGAAAAAATGCAAACAATATTTTGCCTGGTGCATGGGTCATTGATCTGTGAGATGTGGGTACTTATTTTACCTCTGTTCTACCCACACAATCAGAAAAGATTAGAAAAGAGAATTTTAAATTACCTGCTTTTTTGTTGCACTGGTTGTACTCTCTTCATCTGGTGCTGCTGGAAAACATTAAAAGTAGACTCATTTCAGAGCTTACCTTTCTCTGCACAAACCACCAGAAAAAGACACAGAATGTTCCTAAAGGGAAAGCCAATTCACATTTGACAATCTTTGAGAAAAGAAAGGATATAACTAAAGCATAATTTGTTTTGTCCTTTGGAAATCTGCACAAAGCAAATATTTACAAAACATTCAATAAATGTTGGTTAATGATGGATTCAGGCTCTTTAATAAAACTAGCATATTCTCAAGTTACTGAGGGACTGTGGTATTTAAAACCCTAATACATATATATCTGTTTATACATACATAACTTCTGCCTTATAACCCCTTGCTAGCCAGTATTTTTTTTTTAAGTATTTATTTATTTATTTTTAGACAGAAGAGAAGGGAAGGAGAAACATCACTGTGTGGTTGCCTCTTGCAAACCCCCTACTGGGGACCTGGCCTGCAGCTATGTGCCCTGACTGGGAATCGAACCACTGACTCTTTGGCTCGCAGGCCAGCACTCAATCCACTGAGTCACACCAGCCAGCAAGCCACTGTTTTGAAATAACACAATTTTACTGTTTCATGCCAGAATTTTCAAATCCCTGATAATTTTTATATAAGTAAAAGTAGGTTCAATTCCTTAAACAAAAGAATGGGGAAAAAAAGAAAAAGAAAAAAAAAGAATGGGGTAACAACTACGGCTTCCCATATGGAGAAACCATCTAAGATCTATCTGCTCAAGCTCTGCCCTTTCACCATATGGAAAGAGATCAGGCCTCAAGAAACATGGACCAAGGTAATTTTTTAAAGGGCCCGAGGGCTACAGGAGGCTGGTTATACAAGTATAAAAGACATACCATTTCAAGACATTGAGAGCCAGTTAAAAAGCTGCAAGAAAAGGCAAAGTTGCATAAACATGATACTTGCTAGAGTGTCTGCTACTGTCCCAGCAGTGCTTTCCACACAATGAAGGAAGGTGTCCCGGGAGCAGATTATTTATTTTTAAATTATGAAGTATTCACAGTGTAGTGGAAGATTTCTAGAGCTGACAAATCTGGACTGCATTAAAAGTGGGTGTTTCCTAGAACTTTTATATCCTGATGTTTTTACATATTTAGTGTCATTTTTATTGATTTTATGTTACTAACCTCCCATTTTCCCTGTGATCTGGATCTTGCCAACCATGTTTTTGCCACTGAGCCTACTTTTTTAAAGACGAAACCTACGGATTGGCAATAGATTACTGTTGTGTTATAAAAGTGCTTAGAATCTGTAGCACTTAAATATTTTCATTAGAATAAAAAAAATATGTGGTGGGAGAGATTTTAATGCAAATGCTATGACATTCAGTAATAATTAATGTAAGGAATGTCCTTTTCTAAATAAAAGACTTTAGGAAGAACATCAACTACAATTAGATACAGGGTTTATTAAAACCAAGCCAGGAACTTTATTTCAATACAAAGTGCTGCCCTGACAGTCTGCACTGCTGAATGGGAGAGGACATAGAACTGACTCTCCGGGAGTCACAGTGAGGAACTCACTAAACTTGTTCTGGTTGGGAGACAAGCAGTTTCTGGAACATCTATGTGATAGTTACATGCATCTCATACTTCAGCAAGTGTCAAGGAGAGCCCAAGGAGTCTCCTGGCTTACCCTGAACATCAAACAGGTCATCCTCTTCCACCCAAGTCTCTTTTTCTTCAACCCCATTAGAACTGTTCCACTTGGCTTTGGGTAATCTGAGGAGAGATCAGTGAGAGGACAAGTCGTGAAACAAAGTCATCATGGGCCGTCCTGTGTTCTGCCCTTGGCTCACTACAGTCCTTGTTTCTCCTTGTTTTGCTGTGACCCATTTGAGGTTCACCTACACCCACCTCCCCAATCCTGGTCAGGTATCTCCATGTCATCAGCCCCCAAGCTGGAGGACCACCCCTCAAACTCAGCACTGTGTACATCACCATCCCCCTCCAAATATATATTTTTTGCAAGTAAGTGATGAAAGCAATTTGTGTAATAAGTGCATAGGCTTGAAAGAATTCCTTGAGTTCCACGAGTTTTCTATGCAATTACCTAAGTGGCTGTACTATTTACTTTCCATTGTTTTGAATTGGATCATATCCCCCCAAATGTTATTTCTAAGAATAACTTGTCTGAGACAAAGGATTTTTTTCATTTTCAGGATATTAAAGTCTGCTTAAGTTTTCTATCTACTTATCCTAGTGCTGGAAAAAAAAATGATTTTAACCACTGGGTCTATCATTTTCACCCAAGGAACTGTTCAGTCTTCCTGCAGACAACCTTTGCAGATGAGTGGTAACCTCCTGCTCCTTCCTCCTCTGAACTTGGCATTTATTATGTGTACAAATGTTTTGGTACCTTCCAATTTCTCATGTTGTACAAGGGGCTGGGATCTGGGTCCTCATCCTGTTAATGGCTATATAACCAGGCAAGCCAGGTCACTTCCTGGTGCTTGCGCTCCTTATTGGTAAACTTAGAACCTGAGCAGTTGTCTAGAGGGGTCGGCAAACTAAAGCCTGTGGCTCCTAGTTTTTGAACAGCCCTTGAACCAAGAATGGGTTTCACATTTTCAAAGGGTTGTCCAGAAACAAAACAAGAATATACAATAGATACAGAAGTGGTTCATGAAGTCTAAAATGTTAAACTTTTACTGGCCTTTTATTAAAATTTTGCGTGCTCCCTTAAATTGCAAAAATCAGTAATTATTTGGTTAATAAATATCTAGTAAGCACTCGTTCATGCCAAGTGCCAGGGGGATATGAAAACCTAGTAAGTCATGGCCCTGCCCTCTAGGGGATATACTAACTAGCCCTAACTAATGCTGCCTTCCCCTCCTCTTCCAGTGGCCCAGCTTCTCGCAAGCGCTCAGCGTCACCTGGCAGCAATGTCTAACCACCCTACTTCTCTCCTTTGCCTCAGCGCCTATTCAGAAGCCCTCAGTGGTATCTCTTCAAACCTTCAGCTTGGTTCGGTTAGAATTATTTGGAGTTTTAAGCAGATTAACAGAGCATTCCCGACCCTTCTAATTCAGTAGCCAGGAGCCAGAGAATGTGTATTTTCAAACATTCTACAGGTAATTGTGATATGAAGCCCAGTTTGAGAACCTCTGCCTGATAGAATACAGTAGGAACTCAAGTTCTGGTCCATTTACCCACCCAAACTTTTCTCCCTTCATCCTCTCTGCATTGTATTCTATGACATTTTTTTCAGAGCATACCAGGCTTTTCCATGCCTTTATGCAAGGGGTTTCTGTGCTTAAAACCCCCAGCCCCCAATATGCTCAATGACCTCTTACTCATCCTTCAAGGCCAACTCAGTATTTGCTCTTCTGTAAGGTTTGCTCCACCAACTCTCCTGAGCAGGCTCAGCTCTTCTTCCCTGGAGCTCCCAGTGCCCCTCACACGCACACTTCCTTTACAGCCTGGGTCATGGGATCCCTTTTCTGCAAAGGGCCAGATAGGATCTTTGGCTTTGCAGGCCTTACAGCCTCTGTTGCAACTACTCAACTCAATGTAGCATCAAAAGTAGCTATAGACAATACAGCCAAACAATACATAAATGATAGATGTGGCTGTGTTCTAATAAAACTTTATTTATAAAAACAGGCAGCAGACAGATTGGACTCGGGCTGTAGTGTGCCAACCTCTGCTTTAAAGTATTCATCATACTTCATACCCTTGACACATGACAGAGGTGGTTATGTCTGAAACCTTCACAAATCCATCAATAAAACCACTGTAATCATGCACTCTATCCAGTTTTCTCATCTGTTTTGGGGGCAATACCTAGACTTCACAGGACTGCTGTAAGGAGTTAAGGAGGTCACGTATAAAACAAGAATAAAAGTGTTGAGCTACATCTGCTTGCCCAGCCGTAACTCACTCACTTCCAAGTGCAGGTAGTGGTGCATGTGGTGCAGATTAGTGCCTGAGTACGAGTCACTTGTCAGATGCCAAAGCCCCACAGGCACCTGCCAGAGCACAGGCTCCTGTACCACAAGAGCAGTGGTAGAGATGATGGTGGCTTTGGGAGACCAACAAGGTGATCTCTTAGAGCAGGATGACCAAGGGAGATTCAAGGAGAAGGTAGGATTTTAAAGAGGCAGCCTGTGCTAAGTGATGTACATACAGGGCAGGCCATGGGCCTTTGTGTCCAGACTGACCTGGATTAAAAACCCCAAAGCCAACTTTGCCACTTTTCAGCTCTGCGACTTATGGCAAATTAATAACTTTTCTGGTCCTTTCTCATCTATAAAATGGGGCTAATAATATATCACTGAGGACTGTATAGATTCATGAGTGTACACGGCCCACAAAAAGTACTTCTCTTCCCTTTGAGGAGAGATGGGATTCTGACAAGCAATGATGAAAAGATGATAATCCAACTGTGGGGAGTGACAGGGAGCAAGGATACAGTAGTAGAAATAAACATAGCGCGTTCCAGAGGGAGCAAGCAGACCAGTTTGCCCAGAGGAAGGATCCACAAAACGGCACAAAGGAGCCAGGTCAAGGGTCAGGATAGGGAGCAAAATGAAAGCATTCTAACCACTACTCCATAGAATGTAGCAGAATGTGACAGATTAGTAAATATTTACTGAATTTGGCAAGTCTCCAAAACTCATAGAAAGTATAAAACTGTAAGCATTCATAGATCTCTAGTTAGTAGTTAAGGTACTCAGAAGTCTGCTAAAAATGAAAGCAGCCATGAACAGGAGGCTCTGAAACCTTTGCATCCTCACTGATGCCCTAGTGCAATGCCTGGAAGCCCTTGTTTGGGGCTTTGGAACTGGCAGGGATGGCTATGTCGTCACTCCCCACTCCTGAGTCACATTCTAGCAGTCTGAGCAAGCCTTGGTGGTGAATAACTTAGTTGAAAGTTACTTCATTCACAGAAGCAATACCGGGCCCAACCAGGACCACCAACCAGCCCCCAAACTCCTACAAAGAAGGTCTTCATACTTGGGATTCTTCTCCCTGGGGAGCGGTTGGTTGAGAACGGCAGGCTTGGATGGTGATGATGGAATGACTTCCTGAGAGGCGTCGAGGCCTGAGTTCAGCTCAGTACTCTGACTATCCTCCTCCAAAACCAATCTGCTTATTGTCATACGCTTGGTCTTGGGCTGCAGTTCAGAGCCACCCTCTCCCTCAGCAGGAGCTGAACTTTCGTTTTCATCTTTTCTTGGTCTCTTGTTTTTGAGGGCTGGCGATGATGGGGATGCTTTATTAGGAAGTACCAGGTCTTTCTGGTCCAGTTTTGAGAAGACTGCCTCAGAATCTTGTGAACCAGACAGAGTCTTGAAAGCTGCTTTCAGAGTCATAATTCCAAAGGTGGTTGGAGTATTCCGTAGCTGCCTACAAAGAAGGCAAACATACAAAGATCAGTTTCACCACTGTTGATGCTCACCTAAACAGCCACAACGTTTTCAAAGTGTGAAGCTTCGTGTTAGCAGAGGGTTCCTCAAGTTTTCGTTAAAAGAGAAAGAGAGGTTGCTTGATACAACCTTTATTTATAAAATCTTCCATTTAAGTTGAACTATGGAGTTTTAATTAATTCCAAACCAGAGTGCCTCAGCAGAACTAGGACCAAGCATACTACCCATAGAGACCTCTTTAGTCTGTGTGCGGCTGAACCCAGTAGTGTGTGTGGACTAAAGCAGTGTTTGCCATCATGTAAGGGTTCTGCACAGTGGCTAAACAAGTACATCCAGACACCCTGCAGTCTTAACTCTTCTTCCAGCCGTCCTCGTCCAACCCTCATGTGACGGAAGTGAAAGGCCAGTCTCCATTCTGCCCATTTTCTGTCACGATACATTTATGAATGGGATCTTGAGAATTTGCAGGGTAAGAAGTGTGCCACACAGTCTTGGAACAATGAGAACCTGCCTTTTCTAAACGAAGTTCATCTACTATTTGGAGTGGCTAGCATGCTTTAAGTAAACACTGTTAGGAGAGGGCAAACTGGCAACCTGTAGGCCAAACCCAGCTGGAAGATGTCTTCCTGCCTAACCTATGCAAGAGTTTTGTTTTTTGTTTTTAAATCCTCACTCAAGGATGTTTATTGATTTTATAGAGGAAGGAAAAGAGAAAGAGAAACATGGATATGAAAGAAACACTGATTGGTTGCCTCCTGTATGCACCATGACCAGGGATCAAACTCACAACCTAGTATGTGCCTTGACCAGGGATCGAACCCACCACCTTTTTTTTTTTGGTATACAGGCCAAAGCTCCAACCAACTGAATGAGCCACCCAGCCAGGGCACAAGTGTTTTTTAAAAACTGAGTAACTGCCAACATTAAAAAATTGGGAGAGCTAAAAATAAAAAATTAGACATCTCACACAAAAATGTGGACTGAAGCTCTGGCATCCTTGGACAGTCTCATACCGCAATGATCGCACGAAGCTGGAAAGCACGCCCTCTCTGGGTCACAGTCCCATGCTCTCAACTATCCTAGACCCACTTCCGTTCCTTTACGTTTCCTACCATGCCCCAAAGGCATCTAAATTTTTGATCCCTGCTTTCACAGCTGGTCTTGGGAATCTGAATCAGAAGTCTGGACACTGTATTAGGAGATAGATATCGACAAGAAAGTACTGAGTAGATTAGGGTGAGTCACAGAGAAACAGAGGAAAGAACCTTTGAAAGACAGTAAGCCAGGAACTTCTGTCAGGGATCTGACATACAATCTTTAATACTCCCATTTTCGAAGGGTATGCTCTATAACTCCCACTGTGCCTTGTATGAGTAACACAGTAACATGTGAGGGGGGTCAAATCACCAGGAGGAACCAACTGACCTTGCTCTAAGGAGGAGGCCATGTTTTGAAAAGACCACCCAGTGTTTCACCTAACATCACAAAAGGGCGCCTCTCTCACCTCACAGGTTCTCTGGGTGCCTTTTCCACAGGCTCTGGTGCTGGCCGTTTATCTTCCTTCACGGTAGTTGATGCAGCAGATTCAGATTTCAAGGCCTTTTTGGCCATCTGGGAAAGGAAGGATATCATCAGGAAGAGGAAGCCACAGAATTTCATTAATTTTCTGCCTCTGTAACCATGAACATACTCAATATGCAAACATGTTCACCTGCAAATCCAATCTAGGCATAAACTAGAGGGAACCATAAAAAGAGAACTTACAAGAATGATCTCAATTTCTTCTTAAAAAAAAACAAAAACTCATAGTTTCAACGCTAAAGAACTCAAGTTAAATACGCTAACCATCTCAACATTGCAAAAACCCTTTATGTGATTTTACTTTGCATTTCCTCTTCCATCCCTCCAATCTCATCCCTAATCTAGTTTCTGAATCCCAAATACACCTTAGGGGTCATGTATAAAAGTCAAACATCTTTCTCCCAAACTTATGATAACTAATGTTTATATTAATGTCTTTTAGTTTGTGTATAGAACTTTTTATGACTGTATGTCCACAAATATGTTTTGCCTGTTAACTCTTTGAAAATCTTTACTTTTATCACATGAAGCCCAGAGTAGGTCCATCTTGCTCTAACTCAACCTGCTCATCTGTCTCCCTGACTGAAGTCTTTGACACATTTCCAATCAGTCCAGTATATTCCGTTTCAGATACATGTAACTGTAATGAGTGATGTCTTAAGAGCTGAGAGTTCTACCCTCACCGAGAAACATTGGCAGGTTATTTTCCAGTTACCTGGAACATAAAGGAAAGTTTCCTAGGCCAAGCTCAAGTATCCTGACACTTGCTCCCTGATTGTTCTGAACTATCTGCTTTGCACATCATTTGAGATTTACCAAATGATGGTTAGGCTCCGTGACACTACCCTGATGTAGGCCTTGCACATCTACTGTTAAGAGCTGTATCTTCAATATTCTCAAATCCTGGTTTTAAAGGAAAAAAACCCTTCTTACTAATTTTTCCTTATCACAGTCTACCTAGGAAAGACTGGGTTCTGATTTCTCTACAAACTATCTTGAGCCTCATTGTTTCCCTTATTCATATCTCTTTGATCCAGGTAAAGAATGTCTTCATTTGGCATCTCCTGCCTTATCATACTTCTAGTGACCTTTTCTCCAGTTATGCTTTCTTCCTGTTAACAACTCCATCATACCACGTCTAATAAACCACTCCTCCTCCAAAATTTAACTTGCATTTCATTTCCTCTGAATTGTAAGATGAATTTCTGCTTTAACCACAACAGATAATCGTACATAAAGGAGGTAAAAATGGGAGGTGAGGAAGACCAGCTTTTGTTCCATTTGCTTCTGCCAGGACCTCTGTTTCTGTTTACTGAAGGCATTTAATAAAGGAAGATCGTGCATATGATTCAGTCTCCCACACATTTACTCTTCCACTTCTAAAAAGATCTGTCCTTTTCTCACTGCCTGCACATCCTCAAGGCCACGTCATGGTTATGAGAGGAGAAGGCCACAGCCCACCGTGAGGAGGTAGGGCTCTGCATTATCCAGGTGACTCTCGAGAAAGCGAAGCATCTTTTGTTGGAAGGTCTCGTAGGAAAAGTTCTGGATAACTGGGTGGGTCAAGTTCTTTTCACGGATAATGTTCAGGAGATCATTTCTCAGCTTCTATACAAAGGACCAATATTGACAACATGAGAAAGGAGGACTGCAGTAAAAAATCAATGATGATAAACTGAGATACTGCTATCAGAGATTTCACAATGCTCTCAATGAAAATCATTGGCACACACACGAAGGGGAGCCCACCATGAAGAACGGGGTCAAGAAATACAATGGATTACTATGCAGCTATAAAATAATAATGAAGAAGAGGATCTAAAGTGCCTTTATACATTTACATAGATTTACTTATTTCAATTAGCAATAATTGTGCCTTGGATAAACCTCATTGGCTACGACAGTGTCAATGCACAAAGCTCATAAAGATTTTAAATATTATTTTTGTAAAGATTTATTTTTAGAGAGGGGAAGGGAGGGAGAAAGAGAGGGAAACATCAGTGTGTGTTTGGTTCTCATATGCCCCCTACTGGCGACCTGGCCCACAACCCAGGCCTGTGCTCTAGACTAGGAATCGAACCAGCGATCCTTTGGTTCCCAGGCCAACATTCAATCACTGAACCACACCAGTCAAGGCAGCACATAAGGATCTTAAAACTTTCCAACCCCCACCCCCATCAAAACACAAAAAGGATAGAGAAGCTCTGTATGTGCTGATATAGAATGATCTCCAAGATACAGTAGGTGACAGGAGCAATTTGCAAAAATGCTCAAATTAGTGTGTAGAATATGCTCACATATGCATATATATATCTATATATATATCTACTACATATACACATACTTGCACACGTTTTTGCTTGCATATACATAGAATGTCTCTGAAAAGATCAAAGTAAAGTCTCTGAAGAGAGGAACAAGATGACTGAGTCAGAGATTAAAATTTTTTCAATAAGATCTTTTGTTGTACTTCTTAAATCTTTTATTATGTACATATATTACCTTTTCAAAAACTAAAATTTAAAGAGAAAAAAAAAAAAACACAAGAGGAGGGTACCAACAGAGGTTTCGACAACCAGAAAATAGAGGAGTTAAGTCCTTACAAAGGCAGATTCTCAAGTCTGCAGGATCAGTGTTTATGTAAGGAAAGCTGGAAGTGTTACAAAACTTGATAGTTTGATATTTGCCTTGGTGCGGTCACTGAAATAAAGTTCTGTCACAAACCAGGCAGAAATGGGGAAGTAAATGACTTACATAAATTTGTCTAATAAAAAAATAAAATTTTCAAAGCTAATCTAACAGGAAGTTATCCTGCATATAAAGACAACACACTAAAGGCCCTGAATATTTAAACATGAATATTTAGAGAACGTTCCTAATGACGAACCCTTTCCCTGTTTTCCCACAAAAATCAATGAAATGGATTTAAGTCTTAGGAGCAAAATAACAAATTTACCTGAGTTGCAGGGTCCTTGGACATATGTTTTTTCAAAATCTTTGAAGCTTTTTCAAATTCTTTATTTTTGATACAAATAATGACAGCCTACAAAAAGGAGGAAAAACCTTTTTTTAACTGTTGTAATGACAGGTGTAATGAGAATATCAAATATCAAAATAAGCTCTACTGAAAAGTAAAATGGAATTATATATACCCAAGAACTTTTTCACATTCTATCAAATTCCTGTACTCAAAAACTAACAAGTATTGTTGAAATGTTACGAACAACCGTAAGCTCTCCGTCAGTGTATAGCATAGATTTTCAGCATGACATTGTTTTGTTTTTAAAAAGAAGCCTGATATAGCAAAATCTGATCCCCTGGATTATGGACCATTTAGTCAATTTGAATAGGACCTCCTAAAGAAAGGCAAAATGGACACAAGTCATTCCAGGTCCTCAGAACAATTGGTTGTATTCTTTTTATATTTTATATTTTTTTATATTTTATTTATTTATTTTTAGAGAGATGGGAAGGGAAGGAGAAAGAGTGAAAGGGAAACATCAATGTGTGGTTGCCTCTCATGTGTCCCCCACTGAGGACCTGGCCCGCAACCCAGGCACGTGCCCTGACTGGGAATGGAACTGGTGACCCTTTGCTTCACAGGCCTGTGCTCAATCCACCGAGCTATACCAATTAGGGCGGTTCTGTTCTTTTTAAATGCAAAAGCTTTGATGTAATTGAGGGAAAGAGGGGAGTATTTACTGTAAAAAAAAAATTAAAGTGATCTGCTGACTACAGAGTGCTGCTAGTTCCATCTAGGAGAGGCCTGAGGCCAGTTCTATAGAAGAACACACGTAGCCTCTCACTACCGTAAACCCCAGCTGGCAACTCCAGTTAGAGTGAAGTGTGCAGGAATTACTGAGACAGACCGAGCTCGTCTACAGGCAGCAATGAAGGAGGACAAAGTTCCAGTTAGGATGTCTTATTAGCCACAGAGAAAAAGAAGAGTCCTTTGGTAAAAAGAAACCCAAGAGACTATGTAGAGGGAAATGAACAGTAATTGAAAATTAAAAAATATATTAAAAAAATATGTACACATTTTTTTAAAAATCAGAAAGGCCAGGGGAAAACTGGGACTACTTGGAGTTATTTAACGGGATAAAGTAACTACCTTACATCCTGTCTCAAGAGGTGTCAGACAGACCTCACAGACAAAAAGAAAACTGGTTCATAGATATTTCCAATTTTCCCAGGAAGAATTTAGGGAGAAACAGACCAAGAGCAGGAGGAATGAATAGCAAGGGAATTCAGTACATATTAATCCCTGGTGATCCTGTTAACATGCTGAGCACAGCCCTACAGGGCAAAGGAAACTGGTGTCATATGCTGCTGAATGCACACACCCAAATTCTTGCTGCCCAGGGGAGGTAGGAAGTCAGTCTTTTCATTTGAATCAGATGACCATATTGACTTTTACATCATTTTCAGCAGAGAAACTACACCGAACTATATTTACTTTCTTGAACACAAAGATTTCACTTTTATAAATCAGTTACATCTCGGTTTTTTATTTACCTTGCATACAGTAAAATTAAGTTTACTGTTGAGTTTTAACACATGGATTGCCTCTTGTAACCACCACAAAAATAGAAAGAGAAACCTTTGTTGTGCTACCTTTCTGCAGTCACACCACCCTCCATCCCTAATTTTTCCTTTGATTTGTCTCTTCAAGAATGTTATATAAAGGGATTCATACAGTACAAAGCACTGATTTTTGAAGGACAGAGCCTCGAGACTGGCTTCTTCCCCTCAGTGTATCTTTAAAATCCATCTATGTTGTTGCATTATCAATAATTCCTTCTTTTTAATTGCTCAGCAATTAAATTTCTAAAAAGAAGGAATTAAAAAGTATATCCCATTGTACAGAAATCGACTTGTTTATACATTCACCTATTGAAGGACATTTCAGTTGTCTGCAATTTTGGGTGATTATGAAGAGATGTTAAAACATTTATATACAGGTTTTGTTATGAATATAACTTCATTTCCTTAAGGTAAATATCCAGGAGTGGGATTGATGGGTCATATAGAAAATATAGGTTTAACATTTTTAAAAAATATTTTATTTGTTTATTTTTAGAGAGAGGGGAAGGGAAAGGAAGGAGAAAGAATGGGAGAGAAACGTCAATGTGTGGTTGCCTCTCATGTGTCCCCTGCTGGGGACCTGGCTTGCAACCCAGGCATGTGCCCTGACTAGGAATTGAACCAGCAACCATTTGCTTCACAGGCTTGTGCTCAATCCACTGAGCTACACCAGCCAGGGCAGGTTTAACTTCTTAAGAAATAGCCAAACTGTCTTCCTGGGTGGTTATATGCCATTTTGCATTCCCATCAGTAATGTATGAGAGTTCCAGTTGCTCCATATCCTCACTAGCACTTTAGTGTTAATATTTTATATATTTCTACAATATTATTTCTGTAGACCAGGGAAAGGAGGGAAAAAAAGGGGGAGAGAAACACCGACTGGTTGCCTTTTGCACCCCACCTAGGGCCCCAGCCTGCAACACAGGCATGTGCCCTGATTGGGAATCGAACCAGCAACCTTTTGGTCTGCAGGTTGGCACTCTATCCACTGAGCCACACTAGTCAGGGCTGGTTAGTGTTAGTATTTTTTTAGTTTTGTCCCTGTGATAGGTTCACAATGAGGAAAATACTTTGTATTTCCCCAGTGACTTCTGTTGAGCATCTTTTCATGTGCTTGCTTGCCATCTGTATATTCCCTTTACGAGTCTTTTGCCCATTATTAAAATAGGGTTCTTTTCTTTTGTGAGTTCTTTGTATATCTTGAATGCAAGTCCTTTGTCAGGTATAAAATTTGCAAATATTTTCTCCTAGTCTACGGTATGTCTTTTCTTTTTCTTAGTCTATTTCTCAGAACAAAAGTTTTACATTTTGTTTAAGTCCAGTTACCCATTTTTCCTCTTATGGATCATAGAGTGTCATATCTAACAACTTTTCGCCTAAATCTAGGACATGAAGATTTACTTTCATGTTTTCTTCTCAAAGTTTTGTAGCTCCATTTTGAATTAATTTTTGTATGAGTTTTAGATTAAGGTTCATTTCTTGCAGGTGGACATTCAATTGTTTCAATACTGTTTGTTGAAGACTATCCTGTTTCCACTGAATTTTCATATTTTTAATCAAAGATCAGTCATTATTTGTGTGTGTCTGTTTCTAGACTCTTCTGTTCAACACTAATCTACAGGTCTCTGGTCACGAGTACCACAGCTTTACAGTAATTCTTAAAATTGGGTATTAAGTCCTCCAACTTTGTTCTAGAAAACTTTTATTTTCATACCTGTCTCCTAACATTTTAGAATCAGTTTGTATTTACAGAAAATCCTACTGAAATTGTAACTGGAATTATGTTAAGCCTATAGGTCAACTGGAGAAAAATGACAACTATATCCCATAAGGTTGTCCACTCCACAGACATGGTATCTTTCCATTTATTAGGTCTTGATTTCTTTCATCAGCATTTTGTATTTTTCCACATACAGATCTTACACATGTCTTGTTAGACTTATACTCGAGCATTTTTCTTCTCTGGAGCTACAGTAGTCTCTGTGGTCAATTGCAGTCCAAAAATATTAAATGTAAAATTCCATCAGTAAACAATTCATAGGTTCTAAATTGTGCATTGCTCTGGGTAGCATCATGACATTTTTGGCTGTCCTGCTTCATCCCACCTGGAATGTGAGTCATTCTTGTCCAATGTGTCCCTGCTGTACATGCCCCCTGCCTCAGTCACTGAGTAGTCATTTTGGTTATCAGATTGATGGTCGCAGTATCACAGTGCTTGCATGCATGTTACCCTTATTTTACTTAACAGTGGCCCCAAAGCAAAAAGTAGTGATGCCGGAAATTAGGATATGCCGAAAAGATGCCATTGGTGTATGTGTAGGAAAAAGCATAGTGTATATAGGATTTGGTATTATCCATGGTTTTAGGCATCCACTGGGGATCTTGGAGTGTATGCCCCACAGTTAAGCGGGGAGGACTGCTATATTGTAAATGGCACCATTTTGGTCATTTCATTTAAAATCCTTTACTGTTAGTACATGGAAACGATTGATTTTTGTGCTGATCTTGTATCCTATCTTGCTAAACTCAGTATAGCTTTTTTTTTTTTTTAAATATTCCACAGGATTTTTAAAATACAGGGTGGGAGAAAAGTAGGTTTAAAGTTGTGTGTATGTGAAACACAATTTATTCTTGTATTATTGTTTCTTAATAATTGTACCATTTTACTTTTTTTAATGGGTTTCCTTTCTTTTTTTTTTTAAAGATTTTATTTCTTTATCTTTAAAGGGTAAGGGGAGGAGAGAGGGAGAGAAATATCAATGTATCATGCGTCCCCTGCTGGGAACTGGCCTGCAACCCAGGCATGTGCCCTGATTGGGAATCGAACCACGATCCTTCGGTTTGCAGGCCCGTGCTCAATCCACTGAGCTACACCAGCCAGAGCTCATTTTCTATATGAACAACTGTAAACCTACTTTTGCCCTACCCTGTATACACAATGATGTTACCTGTAAGTACAGACAATTTTATTCCTACTTTTCTAATCTGTTGTCTTTTATTTCCTTTTCTTATTGCACTTGCTAGGTCTTCTAGTATGATACAGAAGTAGTGAGAATGGATTCCTTGCCTTGTTTTAGATCTCAAAGACAAAGCAGTCACTCTCCACCATTAAGTATGATGTTAGCTGTAGGTTTTCTGTAGCTGCCCTTTATCAGGTTGAGGAAGTTACCTTTTATTCCTAGTTTCCGAGTGTTTTTTAATCATGAGCTAATATTGACTTTTGTCAAATGCTTTTTCAGCCAATATGATCATGTGGTTTTTTTCCTTCTTTAGATGAATAGGGTAGATTACATTGATTGATTTTCAAATATTGAACCAGCTTTGCATTTCTGGGCTTATTTTCCCTACTGTGCTAAACACTAACTGCATCTGTATCCAGGGCTAAGCAGCAGGATGTACAGTAAGAAGAGCAGTGGAACCTGCTCCAAGTTCTGGGGATCAAAGCTCCACTGCCTGAGGGAAAAGGGGTTCTCTCCCTTCAGTTTCAGGTTCCTGCCCTGCTGCCCCCACTGTAGTACTTAGTGCCTAGGTGCTGGGACAGAAAAGAAGGAAGAAAAAAAAAAGCAAAATTGAAACTGGAATTTCTCCCACCCTTTCTGGCCCTTAAAAGATCTCTTTCTTGCTCTTCAGAACAGAGAGAACCTCTCTGGGAGTTCTTTCTGTTCATACCTGGAGTGTACTTTCAGGTTGTAGAAGCCTTGAAGTCCAGGCTGGAAGATACCAGACAGGGAAAAAATGGTAAACTACTCATCACCAGTTTGGTAGCCTTTCAAATTCTGGTGTTCTTCCCCATCTGCTTACTACCATTTATATTTCTAAGTCCTCAGAGAGCTGTTCCATACATTCTATGCAGGACTTAGACTTGCAGCATTAAGGGAAGCACGAGAGAGTATAATTTATTCCAGAACTGGAACATAGGTCCTACTGTATTTAGAAAGGATATGTAAATGCTTTCAAAGTGTAAAATCTGCCTCCAGAGTCTATGCTGTGGATTTATTTTTTTAAACTAAGTATTAATTTCCTGTGCAGATTTCTCTTAACGAGATGAACCACTGCTTTTTTCACTTGAGAGTGTTCAGAAATAAGTGTAATTTTTCCCTCTTTGTGTGTCTGTTAAGATTCTTAAGGAGCAGGCAATAGCAGTGGTCTCTTGCTAACTTAAACAAATGGAAATTTCAAGCACAGATTTTCAATAGAGGTGACACAGGTTTATACCTGGGAATAAAAGACAGAAAAAGCAGAGGAAGAAAAAAAACCAAACTCACAGAAGTGAATAAAGGCTAAAGTAAACTCAGCAAGAAACCAGGCTGTTATGGCAAGCAGGAATGCTCAAAGCTTTGACAAAGCCTTTTGCTTCAAGAATTAAAGTTCTAGGAGGTTGTGTAAGATACACTAGCTCCCCAAATGGGGTGAAGCGCCAAAAGAAAATCAATGTGCTGTTACCAAGGTTCAGGAAAGAGTGCTGCACAGAAAGAGCAACAAATCAATGCTTCTCTGAGAACATACCACACATGTTACTCTCTCCTGTTTTCGACAGAACTCTTAACTAAGGAATGTCTCTTCTACAAAGAGAAAACCAATGCAGTCTCAATATCATTAATAGCTTACAGAAGCAGTTCTCAAAACTTTCTGGTCTTGAGGTTACTTTACACTCTTAAATATTAATGAGGATCCCAAAGAGCTTTTGTTTATGTGGGTTACATCTGTCAATAATCAGTGTTAGAAAAATAAAACTGAGGAAATTTAAAGATATTTATTAAGTCATTAAAAAATAACAATAAGCTCATTACAAGTTAACATAAATATCGTATCTTTATGAAAATTATATTTTCTAAGACAAAAGTTTAATGAGAAGGGTGGCACTGTTTTACATTTTTGCTAATTCCCTTAATACCTGGTTTAATAGAAGATGGATTCTGTATCTGCTTCTGTATTCATTCTGTTGTTTCATTTGAAATAGAAAGATATGAATTTGGAAAATGGAGGAATATTTTAATAGCACTTTCAGAAAATTATGGCTATACTTTGACTCTACACCCAACTTTGGCAAGTAAACTTTTCATCATCTGTTGTTACATTAAAATGGGTTGTACTTTATTTTTTAAAAGATATTTATTTACTTGTAGAGAGATGAGAAGGGAGGGGAAAGAGGGAGAGAAACATCAATGTGTGAGAGATGCATTGATCAGTTGCTTCTCACACACCCCCCAAACTGGGGATCAGCCCCCAACCCAGGCATGTGCCCTGACTGGGAATTGAATCAGTGATCTTTTGGTTCGCATGGCAGCATTCAGTCCACGGAGCCACACCAGCCAAGGCTCTATCTTATACTTTAAATGAATCTTTCACCCACCAATGATTTTTGTAATATAATAAATACAGTGATCATTTGGAAAATATTGGTTTGCCGAATTATATAGATCCTCCACATATTGATACATTAAGATTATTTTTAAAAGTCACAGTTGTTAATACCACCATCAATCTTAACACCTAAATCAAAGAACTGGAAAGTTATCAAGCACATGAATACAAGTTTTCCAAAACCAACTTTCACTTGAAAGCTTGAATTTTATTATGGGCAACAAATAATGACAACTGTTTTCCTTGAAGCAACAAGTTCATTTTGTTCTTTATCAAAAAAAAAAAAAAAGGGCTGCCAAATACCCATCACTGAATAACCAAGGTTTGTCAGTTCTTTCAAGTAAAAACGGGGTCCATTAAAGCAGCTAGTCAGCATGCAACCCAAACACACACGTGCTTTCCTGAAGACAACCTTCATGCTTGCAGCAGAAATGCTTTGGACAAACTTTCTATTTTGTCACACAAAATAAGGAAAAGATGTTTGCTCAAGGGTCTGGATTTAATAAAATCGATCATTTTTACTGCTTCCTCAAAAACATTCAATCAAATTGGCTAAAAAAAAAAAAACAAAAAAACCCTGCAAGCATGTGGCAATGAATACAATGACTACTGTACAATTTATTACCACTATCTTGATCATGCTAAGGCACTAATTTTACCCATCATTGTTTTTGCACCACAGTGCAGATGTCAGTACACTAAAAAAGTCAATTAATGTTTGGCATTGTTATGAAAATTGTTTTTGACCTGATAAAGGATCCCAAAGACCTGCAAGCGATCCCCAGACCATATGTTGAGATCTAACTTAGAAAAATAACTCCCCTAGTAAACTTCCTAAAAAAATCCAATATACTTTTAAATTAAATGTTGTGACACTTTAAAAAGCTTAAGATGCACCAAAAAGCCTCATTGAACCTAGGCATCCCAAGGTATTTTCCCAATGACCACTAACAGGTTTTATAGTTCTAAATGAGAAATGGAGAAAAGAAAAAGACTGAACAAATGATACAGTATCATTTAGTAACTAGGAAATCAAGGTAATTTTGGTCGCCAGCCTCTTAAGATGGCGGCTAGTGATCCCTACTTGCTACATAGTCCGATGCCATACACTAGTTCAGAGCTGGTCTGGTCTGTGCAATCAGTAGCATTTGGCTAAAGCTGATAAAACGTTACTTCTGAGATTAAGTTATAAAAGGCTGCAGCTTCTGTCTTGGGCGGGCTCTTGTTCTCCTGGGTCTCTTCCTCTAGGGGAAGCAAGCTACCATTTTGTAAGCAGCCCTGTGGGAGGTAAACAGCTGAAGCCCACAGCCCTGGAGGGAGTGAGTCCTGCTAACAACTGTGTGGGTGAGCATGGAAGGGGATCTTGTGGCCCTAGTTGAATCTTGAGATGACTTCAAGCCTAGCAGCCATCTTGACTGTAACTAGTGGGAGACTTCGAGCCAGAAATACGCACCTAAAACACTACTACATTCCTGACTCTTGGAGAGAAACAGAGAAAATATTTAATGTTTTAAGCTGCTAAAGTTTTGGGGTAACTTGTTACACAGCAATAATAGTAATACAGTAAGTTTAACAAGAGATGTTACACCTGGTGGAAAATGGAAAAGCAAAAGGGAGTCAACATAAGAAAATGCTTAACTATTTTCAGGAAATTTAGATTTTACAAACAGATTTTTCCTAATGAAGTTCCTAAACAAAAAAGATCTATGAACTTAAAATAATATGAAATAATATTCAGCTGAAAGATGAAGACAAACCTATAGCTCTTCTGTTCTGAAGGAGCTGTATTCCTGAACCAGCTAGTTACTTAATTGGAGTTACACGAATTACTCTGAACTGATGCCATTTATTCCCATTCAAAAGCTATTCCGAAAATAAGGGTGGATTTCTCCTCCCTTGCTAATATGTTCTTTCTAGCACTTTCCCTCCAATACCTGACTTGCCTAGCTAAAATTCTGTTCTTGGAACTGGAATTAGAAAGTATTCTTTGGGAAACCAAAAGTAGTTCCTGCCAAGGTCCTTAAATGAATAAATATCTGCACGTCTCATACACTACTTGTTTGTTGACAGCTACCTGAGTACTCGACACACAGCCAAGGGGCAGTCTTCATGGCTAAGCAAGGCTTTATCCTCAGGCCCCCCACACCCATTCTATCCTTTTAGGCTGTGATCTTTGCTCCTTTCTTTGCTCCTTACTTTCCACCATCAAAGCAAGGCTAAACTGTTGTTCCTCAGTCCTTACCTCTGAATCTGCTTCGACACCCTAGCCTTTAAACCGCAGAACAAAAAGGGTTTTCTGACTGGTTCTCAGGGCCACTTCTTTGTTTTAAGTAAAAATAAGTTCTACTACTTGAAGATACCCCAGCCGTGACATGGTCAAAAGTCCCAAATTCCTAGACACACCACTAGCTTTTTTCTTGTCAACAACACTACCTGTGCCAGCCTTCTACCATTACTATTTTTCTAACTGGCTGATTATCACAGCAACTCTGAAATTCTATTCAAGAATTAGAATAGACCAAAACCTCTCATTCTGCAGACAACTGCATGAAGTAGCTCAAAGTCCCACACTTCCCAAAGCCCCAGCTCTTCTTTATAGTATATTATAAATACGGTGGCCAAACAGTTACTTCTAGCCCTTCCACAACTCTCCTAAATGGTATATAATAACCTGCAGTCTTCAATGCCAACCCATCACCTGTGTACTGTGGGCCCTCTTGCCTGGACCACAAGTAAGACTACTAAAATCACAAAAGCTGAGCACCTACCATTAATGTTCTTTCCAAATCTTGGCTGAGAAGGGTTGCCCAAAGAGATAATATTTCTGTGTATGTTCATATGTTTGAGTGTGCTGACTTGCTTTCTCTCCACCCTTTTTCACCTACCCCCAAACATAAAGGTAAACATTGTATCCTCAAAGACCTCTGATTTTTGTTCAAAGAAAAAAGAAAAAAGAGTCTTACAGCCTCCTTGACCAGTTTTCTACTGGATTCCACCATTGCCTCTGTCAGTGTAAATTCCGTTTTAATCATCTCCAGTACATTGATTGCTGATTCCAGGGGTGTGAGCTCAGCCTCCATATCAAAGGAACAGTCTAGAATAAAGAGCACAGGTTTCACGTTAAGCTGTTTCCTATAGACCAGAAAGGTTATGTCCAAAAAGACATACATTTAGGGGCAAAAAAACCCCACATGCAAATGTAGTGAAGATTTGCATTTTAACTGTTTACTCACTATAGATTTACAAATATGTTAAGGATCCAAAGTCAAATCAATGAATTTGAAATACTAATTTTCAAGACAAGTAAAAATTATTTTTAATAGATGCATTTGCATCTCAAATTTCAGGATACAGCATGTCCTCCTACTCAGATACAAGCGGCCAGAAACTGTAGACCCTTTGCTAAACAGATGTCAAGTTCAATTCAGGGAAAAAAATGTGCCACTATCTGAAAAACACTCTACTATAGAGGAAAAGATGTGGTCATCTTAACATAACTCACTTCAGATAGCACCAAAGTTGGGGCGAGCAAGAAACAGGTGGGAGGAAATTTGAAAAACAAAACAAAACAGAAAAGCAGGCAAGAGAATCTCAACTGAAGAAAACTAGAGCCAGAGCATACCCATTCTAGAAAGAAAAAAGAACTACCCTGTGATCAAAACACAACAGCGCACTTTAATCTCGAATCCTTCATTCCTGGACGTAAATTTGATAACAGAGTAACTCTACGCCCGGAGAATGCAAAAATAGCCATACCTAAATTTTCCCCTTCTTCAATGCGAGATAGGCACTGCATAACCCGCAGCAGCCGGGACACGGTATGCTCCTTCCCCAAGGGCCTGACAAGCAAAGCTGGGAAAGAAGACATCATTGGTTTGGCGATCCCCTCGCCTCCCAAGCCATCCCCAACACCGGGACCCCAGAGATCCCCTCCGCAGACGCCGCAGCCCCCTTCCCAGGCTTGGCCCTCACCCTGCATGATGTCCCGGATCTGCCTGAAGTCCCCGTACCGGCTGCTTCGAAAGGCCCGCAGCGCCTCGTAGAAGTAGAACTTGAGCACCCAGCGGTTCACCGCCTCCTCCAGCCGTGCCTCCCCCGCGGCCCGCTCCCCAGCACCCCCCAGCCCGGGACCGTGCCGCCCTCGCCGAGCCCGCCCACCGCTGCGGGACGCCCGCCGGCTTGCCGCCCTCCTGCTGCCGTCGCTGCTCCCGCCTCCTCCCGCCATCGCGTCCGTTCGCCGCGCACGCTCCCCACTTTCCCGACCGGGCCGCTTCCTCGACTGTGACGCCGCCGGATCACGCAGGACGTCCGGGCCGGAAGCGAGACCCCCCGTCCCGGCTCCCGCGGCCATGATACAGACAACGTTCCGACCAGCCCGCGGGCTTCTGGGTGGGAATGGATTGTCTGGCCCCAGCCCCCAGTCGGACTCCGTAGTTCCGGTATGCGGGCGCAATGCCTCTCGGGGCTTGAAGTCCAAGATGCCCAGACCCGTAAACCAACCGGTGTTTGAGCGAATTGTCAACTTTGTACCGAAATTATGGGACACTATAGTAGGGTTGCGGGTCTGAGTATAAAATATTGAAAAATAAGAACGTGAAGATTATTAAGCACTTTTAAAATCGTGAAATGTAACCTACATGGAGGAAACTTTATTAAGTAAATTTACACTAACAATTTAAAGCAAAGACCAATGTTATCCTAGTCGAGATCAAGAAATGGATTATGGCCGATACCCTCGAAATCTCTGGACATATCTACCATAATTTTTTTCATATACCATAATTTTTTAATTACAAAAATAACACATATTGTGGTAGAGCAAAAAAGATTAACATTTAAATCATCTGTAATCCCACATGAAAAAAATACGTTGATTTATAGGTTTATAGACTTCCGATATCTTGTATAACCTATTGCGTGTGTATGTATTTGCAAAAATGGGATACTATTTATATTTTATATAACTTTCAATTTGTATTTAACATATAATGAGTATCTTTCCATGTCATTAAGTAGTTTTTCTGCAGTATCTTCAGCAGTTATTGTACATAGCATTCTAATATATGGGCGAACCAGAGTTTTCTTTATCTAAACCCCTGCTGTAAGATGTTTAAGTTTTTCAAAATTTTGTAATTCGAGGCAATCTTCATATTAGAAATCCTTTAAACAGTACTGTTGCACAAATTTATAATTATTTTCTTAGGATAGTTTCCTAAAAATGGAATGATTGAGTTGCAGAATACACAGTGGAACACAGATCAGAACATTTCCCTTATCACTCAGCAACCTTTTGCTTTTTAACTAGGCACAGATATCTTATCATGTCTCTTAAAGCCTGCAGAGGTCACCTGTTTGCCAACCTCATTTTGGGCTCATACCTGCACAACTTCTATCATTTCCTCCTCAATCTGCTACTCAATCTGCCTAGAGCCTTAGTCTTGTCCATTTTAGGCTAATTAGATACTTCTTGTTCTTCAAGCCTCATTTAAAAGACATTTTATTCTTTCTTGACTTTCTGGGCCAGGTTAATTCCCTCTTGCTGCCCCTCCTTAGCATCTCATATTTAATCCTTCCTGAAATTAGGTCCTTGGGGGCAGGCACCCTCTTTACTCATTCATCCTACGTCCCGAAACCTAACCCAGGACCCGACACATTTCTTAAGGTTGGATTGAATTAATGAGGCACATGAGTAAGGCTTCTGATACAAGTTGAAAAACTGTACCACCGAAGAATTATATTTACTGAAATTTAATTCCATGCCTACCAGCAACCTGATATGGGGACATTCTTAGGGAATCCTCCCATTTCTTATGTATTTGTGTCATGATTTGTTAGATACAGAACAGCTGACTACATAATCTTATGACTACACAGTATAACTTCCTTGAGTTCTTTTCTCCATTTCCATTCTTGTAGATAGGCCCGGAGAGGACTTTTTAAAAAATCATGGTCCCTCTCTCCTTTGGTACTTTTCTTGTCCAACCCCAGTGCTAAGTGCACTTTCATCCCCATCTTACTGGACACATTCCTGAACCTTACTTTCTTCTTTGCATTTCTGTGATAGGTTGGCCACACTGATCTTGGAGAGTCCATTCCCCATATCTTCTTTGGGTGCATCATTGTCTGTATCTTTCACAGGCAGAGGAGTGAGTTAGGGCATTTCCAGAGGACTGGGTGGCCTGGAGTGAGTGTCATGAGGAAATGGGGGCATAGGGTGTGAATCACCTGCAGGTGTCTCTGATGCTCTTGGAACTCACCACACACTACTCAGATCAAATAGAGAAATCCAAGTTCTGGTGGGTGGGGATGACCCCTTCCTGAGATGCCCAGTAACTGGTTTAATTTAAAAAACTTATTCTACTAGCCCCACTGGACTAGAACCAGGAAAGATCCACATTGGGGCCACTAAAGGACAATTCAGGAGGGCAATTAGCAGCATCATTGAAGTTGTAAAATCACATGCTGGACCCTGGAATTAATTCAACGTGGACCTCAATCTGTATAGTATCTTGGTCTGACAAAACCTCCATGTGGTGGACATCCTAGAATAGGGGAAGAGGCCTCTCAGCCAGACCTTTGGTGATTGTGGCTGCTTTGTGATCCAGGTCTACCTGCCAAAACAAGGAGCTAAGTTATCTACCTCAAATCCTGACTCTTCCACTTGCCAGCTGTATAATCTTTTTTGTTGTTGTTATTTCCTTTTTTTAAAATTTTTTTATTGATTATGCTGTTACAGTTGTTCTATTCCCCCCCTTCATTCCCCTCCACCCTACCCCCCCGTCCCCACCATTAACCCCCCTTTAGTTTATGACCATGTGTCTCAGGTCCTTTAGATTCTATATTTCCCATGCTATTCTTGCCCCCCATCTATTTTCTATCTACTGTCTATGCTACTTATTTTCTGTACCTTCTCCACCCTTCTCCTCCTCCCACTCCCCTGTTGCTAACCCTCCTTGAGATCTTCATTTCTATGTTTTCACTCCTGATCTAGCTGTCCTTTTAGTTTGCTTTTGTTTTAGGTGTGGTTGTTAATAACTGTGAGTTTGTTGTCCTTTCACTGTTCATGTTTCTTTAACCTCTTTTTCTTAGATAAGTCCCTTTAACATTTCATATAATAAGGACTTGGTGATGATGAACTCCTTGAATTTGATCTTATTTGAGAAGCACTTTATCTGCCCTTCCATTCTAAATGAAAGTTTTGCTGGATAGAGCAATCTTGGTTGTAGGTCTTTGGATTTCATGACTTGGAATACCTCTTTCCAGCCCCTTCTTGCCTGTAAGGTCTCTTTTGAGAAATCCGCTGACAGTCTGATGGGAACTCCTTTGTAGGTGACTGTCCCCTTAGCTCTTGCTGCTTCTAGGATTCTCTCCTTCATTTTAACCTTGGCTAATGTAATTATGATGTGCCTTGGTGTGTTCCTTCTTGGGTCCAACTTCTTTGGGACTCTCTGAGCTTCCTGGATTTCCTGGAAGTCTATTTCCTTTGCCAGATTGGGGAAATTCTCCTTTATTATTTGTTCAAATAAGTTTTCCACTGATGGCTGTCCCTTTCCCCCCTTCTGGTACCCCCTATAATTTGGATGTTGGAGCATTTAAAGATGTCCTGGAGGTTCCTAAGACTCTCCTCATTTCTTTGAATTCTTGCTTCTTGACTCTTTTCTGTTTGGCCATTATTTGCTTTCTTCTGGTCCACTCCATTGATTTGAGTCCCAGTTTCCTTTTCATTGCTATTGGTGTCCTGAGCAATTCCATTCATTTCAATTAGTTTCGCCTTCATATATTTGTCTAATTTGTGGCTATAATCAACCAGTTCTGTGAGGATCCTGATCACCAGTGTTTTAAACTGTGCGTCTGAGAGTTTTGCTATTTCTTCATTGCTTAGATTTATAGGCTCTGGGGCTTTGAGATCTTCTTGAGCCATTTTTGGTCTGTTCTGGCCCTTTAAATGTGAGAAGCGGTGCCTTGGACTCCCAGGTGGCTGGTTTGTGATGCTGTATGTGGGGGCGTGGCCAGAGCTGGGAAATGGCGACCCCCTCTGCTGTTTCGCGGTGCTGGGTGAGGAGCAGTGTCTTAAGTGGTTCACCAGGGCAGGGCCACTCAGAGTCGCTGGGTTATGACGCTGTATGTGGAGGTGGGGTCAGAGCAGGGAAATGGCGGCGCCCTCCGCTGCCGCTTGCTGTGGGGACCCGCTGGGTTCCAGTCCAATCACCCACTCCCTCGCTTGTCTAACCGCGCACAAATGCGCGACCACAGTCAACCCGCAGCCCTACTCCCTCGGTGTTTCCCCAAGGTCGCTCGCTCAGTCGCTCGGTTGGTCACTCACTAGGTCCAACCCTGCGCCTGGATTCCACGCGCCTGGATTCCGCGCATCTGAGTCCATCTGACCGAGTTTTCCTGTGCAACCCCGCTCCACCAGCTGCTGGTTTAGCCCCTCTTACTGATCAGGCTGAAGAATTTGTTGTTAACAGACTTCCGAAAAGTTCAATTTTCTGTGTTCTGGCTGTGTTTTCTGTTGCTAATATTTAGTTGTCTCTAAACTTGGTTGTGTGAGAAGGCACGGCTTATCCACCTATGCCTCCATCTTGGCGGAAGTCCTCCCAGCTGTATAATCTTGAACAAGTTACTTAACTATCTCTGTGTCTCTGTTTCCTTAGCTGTCAAGCGTAAATAATAGAGGTACCTCATGGGGATTGTATGAAAATTGAATGAACTACTTATTTCCAGTGTAGGCTTTGGCTCACTATATGGACTCAGTAAGCGTAAACTTTTTTTTTAAGATTTTATTTATTTATTTATTTATTTATTTATTTATTTATTTATTTTTAGAAAGGGGGAAGGGAGGGAGGAAGAGAGGGAGAGAAACATCAATGTGTGGTCACCTCTCATGTGCCCTCCACTGGGGACCTGGCCTGCCACCCTGGCTTGTGCCCTGACTGGGAATCGAACTGGCGATCCTTGGTTTTGCATGCCGGCATTCAATCCACTGAGCCACACCACCCATGAGTATTTTATTAATTCATCCAGAGTCTTCCTGAAAAATCTTTTCTTCTCTATCAAAATTCTCCTAATTTTCATTTTTGGAACTTAAGATATAACTTACCTAAAGTACATGTATATTAAGTGTAAAGCTTGATAAGTTTTCTCCCCATTTTTCAAAGTCCCATCATCATGTGGTTGTCCCACCATCACTTTCTTCCTTACTCAGGACAAACACCCAACTCTCACCTAAGGAATCTGTTTTGAGGAACTTGAGTGTTTCATGCCTTCTCCTTGGGCACCAGCAGGAGGCAGTGAAGCACAGGGGAAAAGCCATAGCATGTTGAGGACCAACAACAGGCCTGTTATCCTGGCCCAACAACTTACTGG